CACACCTAAGATATGCAGTCGGTTATGTTCCAAAACAAAGAAATTAATGATGATGGATCCCTCGAGCACTAAGAACTCCGGACGTAAACTCGCTCCACTCTCGGAATGTCCTGGTGGAGGATGGGCTCGAGGGAACAACATCGAAGATAAAATTTGTTTTTAGAACGTCTGCCGGATTAACAGCAACATTGAGGCTGTTCATCACTACCTGCAATCCAATCGTCCCGCCGTGCTTTTCTTGGCGGAGACAAAAATCTCAGAGTCTGCACCGATTAACTATCCATTCACAAACTACGAGGTGCACTCCAATCTGAGAAAGAACGGGGAGTTATGGCTTTTGTCCGCAGCAGTCTTTCCTGCTCCAGAGATGTTTGTTTGGAATCCGACCGGAAGGACATTCTGTGGCTTCGCCTCAACTCCAAAACATCACCCAAATTTATTTGCTACCTTTATCGCTCTTCCTCGGACCATAACTGGGATGACCTACTCGAATACCTCGCCGTCTAGATCGACTTCCTGAACACCAATCACCCCGCTTCAGAGGTAATTCATCTCGGTGATTTCAATGCCCATGAGCTTTGGTTGGGCTCAAACAAGACCGATGCAGCAGGTCCGTGCAGTCGAAGCGTTCGCTCTTACTTACGTGCTGACCCAGCTGGTGACGAGCCCTACTTTTTTCCCCCGCGTCTCGTCACACGCCAGTAGCCTGCTGGATCTCTTTCTGACCACGCATCCTGTCCCTTACAGCACTGCTGTCCTGTCCCCCCTGGGTAACTCAGACCACGGTGTTGTGGAGGTTAGGTTTCGGTCAGAACCCGCTGTGGCAGCAGAAACTCGTACAGGCCGCAAAACTTGGCATGCCGACTGGGAGGGGCTCAGAGATTTCTTCTATAGCTATCCTTGGAGAGATGTCTGTTTCACACAGGAATACATCCCTTACACAGTGAAAGTGCCTAAACCCGGGTCCAACGGAGGGTTTAACAAATCGTGTCACTGCTCGCCAGCAGAAGATCAAGGCACACAGAACCTTCTTACAAAGCCCCACTGTAGAGAACAGACAAGCCGACGTCGAGTCCAGAAACAAATATAACGAAGCGTTTCGCTATGCCAAAAACCAACACGACATAAAAGTTAGGCACATGGTAATGTCGCAGCGCAATGGCAGTCGGTCTTTCTGGACGGTGGCCAAGCTGCCATCTCCACCATGGACGTCCCCCCCAATGCCCAAGTGCCGCCAATTCAAAGGGTTCCCTACACTATGCGGGAGGTAACATTCAGGCATAAGACCGTAAGACGAGTGCTCTTGTCGCTCGACATCAACAAAGCTTCTGGTCCGGACTTGATACCTTCCATTGTACTGGAGAGGTATGCAGCGGAGCTTGCTCCAATTCTTTCGCGTCTCTTCCAGATACCTTCTGGCACCTTCCGGCCTTATGGTGAGGCTCATGTCGTTGCTCTTGACATCACGAAAGCGTTCCATCAGCTGTGGCACGCTGCCCTCTTAAGCAAACTTCCATCCTATGGCCTCCTAGAAAAGTTTTGCAGATGGGTGGCTTACTTATCTTTGGCCGCAAGATATCCGTTGTAATTGACGGGTTCTCCTCTTCATCCCACAATGTCAACGCGGGTGTTCCCCAGGGATCGGTCTTGGCTCCAACACTGTTTCTCTTACATATCAGCGACCTCCTTTCCTGCATGATCAACCCAATCCACCGCTTCGCGGATGACAGCACTCTACATGCAGGAATTCAGAGTGATAAGCCGATCTCTGCCGCTGAGCTGGAAAAAAGACTAGCGACGACTTCCTCTCTGACAGGAGACCATGATGCTATCACTGCTTGGGGACGCAACAATCTTGTACAGTTCAATGTTTCCAAAACACAGTACTGTACTTTGACGAACAAAAAGCATCCTAGGGCTCATCCGGTTTCGATGGATGGCCGAGTTCTGTCAAAGAGGCTGATCGGAGTCCAGATCACCGAGGACCTGATCTGGCACCAACACATCTCGTCAATAGCTGCAGCGGCTGGGAAAAGCTAGGCTATTTGTTTAGGGCTAAGAAGTACTTTTCTCCGAATGACCTTCTCACTCTATACAAGGCCCAGATAAGGCCTAGCCTCGAGTATTGCTCACACATTTGGGGTGCTGCCGCCCCGACTACATTATCCATGCTCGATGCTGTCCAGAGGAGGGCGGTCCGACTGATCGAAGTCTCTTCTCTAACAGACAGTCTCGGGACTCTTTCGCACTGTCGGCGATCTAGCTTTTTTCTATCGCTACACCAACGGGCTTTGCTCCTCAGAGCTCTCTTCCATGATGCCGCCGCACGATGTGCCTGCCAGACAGACCCACCTGACTTTGGTGTCCCATCCTAACCGTGTCGAACTTAGTACATCCAAAACCGGCCGATACGACGGCTCCTTTGTCCCGACGGTGTCAAGATTGTGGAACAATCTACAAGAGGAAGCTTTTCCCAGTTCTGCTAACCTTAAGGTGGCTACAGACATTTGAAGTTTGTCAACCTTCAAACAGCAAATGTTTGATATTTGGCAAATATCTCAGACACACACTATATGAAAATACACAAATATTTGTTATTTGTCATACATCAAATGTTTCCCATCAATTGTCGGTAAATAAGTACAAATCAAAGGAGACAAATATTTGAAATTGTGCGTAGTTGTTTCAGATACACACATGCTCCGTATTTAAATATTGATATCGCAGTGCTAAGCAAGTGTGCCCGTGTCGAGATGGAGTGGTCAAACGACCTTGTACTGGAGTTTTTAGAATTGTACGAAGAGTAACCTGCAATATGGAATGCTTCGCATATTCAACATAAAAATAGGAACGACGTATAGGATGCATGGTTACGGATAAATTAAGCACGCCTTGTTCTATATCCGCCTGCTCATCAAACACACGTCGTTCCACAACCGACAGATGTCAGATGTTCACAACCATACCCTCCATCCCTTTCACAGATTTCATCTTCACCAGTCTCAGATGTTTCCCGTTCCTATCACTCGGAACCAGAGATACGTTCTATCAACACTGTAACTGACGATGTTAATTCATTACAGTCCAACGAAGATATAACAATCGCAACTGTTTTAACAACTTTTCAGTGAAATATTTCTATCTTTTAGTTTTAAGATTGGCATTATTTCTATTATATGCTCCATTTTGTCCAGAGAGCTTTGTTATGTTCCTATAAATTACGTTCAATATATATTATTTTACAAATTGTACCTCTTACCTTTATTGTATCTCCCAATACTTTTATTATTGCCTTGCAAACTTCAGGAACAATGCTTGATATCAACTGGGATGAAACTTTGAAAAGATAGCAAAGGCTCTTAAAGCTGTCACCGGTGACTAGAAATTGCAATGTTATGGCCAGACGTTCATTTGCTGGAATGGCTTTTCTCCGTTTTTCTTTACAATATACGACTCTACCATATTAAGTAAAATTTCAAAATCCTCAGAAGACATCCTACAAAAGTTTTCAAAGAAACCAGAAGGTTCTTTTAACTGCAGCTGCGGTTTCTATATCCATATTTGCAAACAAACAGCAAACAACAAAATTTGACGTTTCCGAATTTTGCTTGAAACTTGGCAAATCAACACATGTATGCTTGGTACTTTGCAAATATTTGGACAAACAGTTCGCAAATAATCAAATATTTGGCATTTGCCACATTTCACATGTCTGTAGCCGCCTTTAGGCAGTTCAAAAATCGTATTAGCAAAATTTCTTTGGGATCATCATAGCAGCCGCGGTGTTCCGGCATTTAGGCTTCTGCCTGCGCGGCTGCTTCGATATATTAAAAAAAAATCAGAGTGAAAAAATAAGGGATCAAATTTGTTTAGAAATGACGGGATTTCAAGAGTACTTTTTATTTTAAGAAAAATCAGTTGCATACTACATTGTCTGCCAAAACAGGCAAGTGATATCGGTACGAACGTCGCTAGTGGAAATTAAAAGAAAATTCGTACATTTAAAATTATCTCTTGATAGTACATTTATGCTAAATTTTAATAAATCAATTAAAGTGGTATTATAGATCTTAACAAAAAACGATTGATTTTCAAAAAGTTTACCGCCCCATTTCTCAAAAGTCAAGACGTTTAGGACATACGATTATATGAAATTTTCTTCTTAAAATGGAACCAAAAGTCACTCTCTGAAATATTGACATTCAGTTGGAAGACACTATATATTTTATGAAGGTAAGTAAATCTAAAATTATTAAAGGTTATTGTAATACACTATTGTAGTTTCTCATTTTGGATGTTTTTTTGGCTATATATTAGTTTATATTGCCTTTTATTAGTTGTACCTTTTAGATATAAAGACTTCATTTGATTACTGATAGGAGGCCATAAAGGCGTCCTACAATTGTAGGAACGACTGACGATACGGGCCTTAAGCACTGGAACGGTATTGACAGGTGGTGGCTAGCTCCGAGTAACACAAACGAGGTACTGGAAAGCACCTATGGTAGGCGGCATCACCGCCTAAGACTACTAGTAGCTGACTAGTAGGGAAGGCTGAAATCTCTTTCATCATTGTACTGGGGGATTATACATTCCACATTTTCCGCCGAAATGGCGGTCGTTTTTGACAGTGTTTCAGAGTTTCATAGGTAATTGTTATCTAAGCTGTGCTATTGCCTGGAGTTTAGGCAACTTTCATTTCGTTTATGGAATCTGATCAGTTCCCGCCAAAAACAACGATTATAACCTCAATTGTACCAAACCAGGACATTTTTGCAAATTAAAGTAATCCCAAAATATACAATTCCTTTTCGAAACGTGTCTGGAATTGTGCTAGAAAAATGTTTGGACTGATATGTTGCAATAGGAAGACAGAATGCAGCGTTAAGATTTACTTAGAGAGCTTGAAATCAAAGCAACTTTTTCCGCTCTTTCAAATTCCTTGTAATGGTTAGATGATTTTCAGTACAAACGTATGATGAATCCAGATTTACACTTACCCTTTTTCAACATCAGCTTGAGAATTTGTGCTTGTCCGTTTGCACAGGCAACCAAAAATGGTGTATAACCCATATTATTATATGCATTTATATATTTAGGATATTTCTCCAGTAATTTCACGGACATTACTGTATCACCTTCTTCTATAAACTTGCATAGCTGATCAACGACCCTGGTATTTGGGAACAGTTTGTCGATTAACTTTAGCATGGCCATAAAGGCTCCATAGAAAAATAATATGGACCATATCCACATTGTCGCTAAAATAGATTCGTAAGAATTGCACCATTTCAAACTTTGCCTTAAGAATAAGCTTTTCACCTCATTAAATATGTCAAAAATCAAGGGAAACATTTTTGTGACATTTTTTCTGCAAACCAAATAAAAAATAATACTGGAAAGCGAAAAACTTAAAATGACATTTGGACAAGATGTGTATTGCGCATGCGCTCCGATTTGTTCAGAGCCGGACTAAGCTCTTACGTTATTTGTCTAATTTTTGTATAATCATATACTGATTTGCTAAAGTTCGAGCATAGTCAGTTTTTCATCCATTTGGGAGAAGTTATATTGTAATTTAGTTTTTCGCAATCAGTGCAGACGTAAAACCACAAAACATATACGCTGAAGAAGGTTTAATTCCATGCTATTCAATGGCAACACGGTGACCTGTGTGATTGTCAGCGGCCACTTTTTGAGGGTGCGACATGGTTGCCAGATTGTGCATGAATATCCCGCAAAGTTGCCAGCTCTTCATTTAAATCTGAGTGTGCTATACTTTTATATATAGAAATTTGGTGGGATATGGGAGATCTTATAACAGCATGTCTTATTAACATTTTGCGCTATGTTGACGAATAAGAGCTTTTTTGTATGCTAAAATAGCAACGTCATTAACACAAGCTGTTATAAGATAAATCATATCTACTTACTAATTTGGAAAGGTTCAGAAGAAAAACATATTACTGCAAATATCTAAATATGTATTTATTATATAAATATCATACATTTTTCTACAAACAAACAAATCAGTATTAACATTATTATGATGATGTTTTCATTACCCAGCCTTTGTTGGCACCTGCATAAGTCAAAAATTAGGAAAAAATTGAACTGTGTTGATGTTACTACAATTCAGATTTCTTTTTTATTCAAACAATAATATTATTGTCCATGGATACCCACAGGAATTTTTCTCGGGTGTGCTGATCATCATCACGACGTAACTTTTCGTGAAATTGTACCTGCCCCAAAAATTGTTGACAACCAGAGGTGGCATTTTTTTCAGGGGCACCAATCCAAAAACATTCTCAAAGTTGTACAAAAAAGCATGCTAAATATGCAAATTTTAAAGTCAAAGCGGATTCCCAGGAGAGACCATGGCCCCCCTGTGACTGCCCTGTGGGCACGCATGTGGCTTCGATTCCACTGAAATTATAGTGAGCTTTGCATATCAAACCTGCTGCTTTGAGGATAGCTGATTTAAAATGAAGTATGGAAACTAATTTGGACAAAAAGCAGTACACTTACAAATGTTATGGTCTGCAAACATCCTTTAAAGCTGTGCCTTTTGGTAACATCCCAAGTAATCTCCAAACTTCTGATAATTCTCAGGACCTCAGAGGTTGACACTAGCGACTGAACTTTTGGTAGTGCTCCACTGTTCAAAAAGTTATGTGAAGATTCCAACAGGTATGATCTTCAAATATTACATTTCTTAAATGAGTAACCGCTACATCTCTGATCTTCCTCAGTATCTGCCAGAAGCCTGGCTACTGACTGGGATCTTTTGGATCAACTTAAAAAATAGATAGTTTGGATTAGGAGTTTGTCTTATAGTATTAACAAATATATTACAGCTTTAAGAGCTTACATTTTTATACTTCACAACTCTGAACAAAAGGCATGTTTCAAATAACATAATAGAGACTTTATTCCATTTAAAATGAAATGTTTATGTTACGCAAAACGAAAATGGCTGAAAAAGTAAGATTATTTATGCAAAGCATAGGAAGAAATCCGCTGGAAATTTAAATCTAACCAATCAGACAACGTCGTTTGTGAATAAGCCGCCATTTTTTGAGGATGCGACATGGTTGTCATATTGTGAATCAGCAACACTGCTTTGTTTCCCATTCGCCCATATGAGTTTCACCCCCCTGCGTAAAACGTTCTCTTACTATTTGATAGGATGAGTTAGTAAAATAGATTCGGAAAAAACGCATTCTTTTTATTTATTGTAGGTGTAAAGGGCTGATTCTGTTGGAAACATATTCTGCTGTGGACGATGAACAACTACAGCAGACATTGCCACCATTTTTGAACATTAAAAAAGAAGTCACTGGAAATCCTGATTATTCTATGTACAACCTTTCCTTACGAGAAGATTGGAAGACTTCAAAGAAATTCTGCCGTTCAATCATTGGTATGTATTAAATTAATGGCAAAAAGGTACTGTTCATTTGCAATCTGGAAGCGAGGTAGCGACAAAAAATTTCTCATTTCCGAATATTTCAGGGGTTAATTCCCTGTATTAAAAACAAATATTTTTAATTAGTCACATGTTTTTTTTTTCATTTGCATCATAAATCACAATTAACCGTTATGGTATGTTGTGGAGTCATTAACCAGCTCTTCATAGCGAGTTTTGAAAAAAGGTGCAAATTCCAAAACGTCGCAATTTTAGTGGAGCATCTGAATCTTATCCCGAAGTTGTTTCGCTGATCTTTCTCCATGTTCTGCTGCCCGCCTCGTTAGGCTTTTTCAAAGATAGCTATTTTGAAAAACGACAAAGATTTGAAATTTTCTGTATTGAAAAATGCCACAGAGAAGTATACATAATGTCAGACAACTGTTATATCTGTGCATCTCTGGAATTATTTGGCAGGTCAGATCAGACCTAATTTTCTAATCTTCATAACTTTTCTTGCAGGTTCCCACAACTTTCTGTTAGTTTTGTTACATATCCAAACATTTTTTGGGGCTCAAAACGTCTGGCATTGTATTTTTTTACTTCCTACAGCGGAGAAGCATTGTACTCGCAAAACTGTTGGAAAATGTGATGTTTTTTTGGATGCACGATGTCACTCGTTTTGGTCTTTCTGTCTGTCCGTTAATCCTATAACCGCCTATAACTTGAGAAGTACGGCTCGGATTTTCATCAAATTTTACACAATTTTGCTACTATGCCAAGGTGGAAAAAGCTTTGTAGTTTTTAAAAATCGATCCAATGGCGGCGAAGAGAAAGGCCAAAAATTCCAAAAATAAAAACCGCTTAAACTTCCTGTTTTGATGGTTCAGAGGATCCGGATCATTTTTAAAAAAAATTAAAATGTGAAAAGTTTGGGAATGTGGAGGGTATATAGGTCAAAATCAGAGAGGTGAGCAGTATGCTTATGACAAAGTTTTTCTCAATAAAACAAAATGATACTACAATGTTTATTTCAAAATGAAGGTACTGTGCGTAATTACCAGCAACTTAGCATATTTATTTTTTGATGACTTGATGTCAAACAAAACAGGCATAAGTAGTCATTCCTCAAACGCGTCCTTGTACAATGTATCATAGTTCAGACAAGTAAAAAATGTTTACAATTACGAATTAAGAATGTCATTTATATATTAGCTTTGAAAATTATTAAATTAAGAATATATATATACAGGGTTATCCAAATTAAGTGTCCACCATTAGTAACTTTGTTATTAGTGAAAATACAAAGTTGTTTGAATTAGCAAACTAGTAGCATTTTTAACGCTGGTAAAAATGAGAAATAAAAAAAAACAATTGAGAGTCGTTATTTTAATTTTTTTCAGTAAAATAACATTTTTTTAAATGGAAACCCCTGTATATTATATTTTTTTCTGTTAAAGCATCAAATTTTAAACAAAAAAGCTTACAATAACTTTTCTCCTAGGTTACAAATTGTTGAAGTTATGGCCTCCAATCTGAAACAATTAAATTGTATCGACAAACTTTATTTTCAACATCAACTTCATCTTACAAAATACAATAACAATTTTTTTTAAAGAAGATGCTCGAAAACACCACCTTGTTCTTCAATACATTTTTGGGCACGTTTTTCAACTGCTCGAACTGTCTTAAGTATGGTCCTACCATCTATCTGGGTTATCTTTTCCCTAACTGCAGTCTTTAACGCGTCAAGGTTATCGTACCTTCGCTTGTAAATTTGGTTCTTTAAGTAACCCCACAAGAAGTAATCAAGTGGGTTTAGATCTGGTGATCTGGGAGGCCACTGTATTGGGCCATTTGTTCCTATCCACTGATCATTAAAAGTAGTACTTAGAAAATGATAAGTACCTCTGGAGTTGTGGGCAGGTGCGCCATCTTGCTGAAAATGCAGATGATGTCTACTTATAAGATCCAATTCGTCTAAGAAATTAGTCAGAATTTCTGACATAAATTCCACATATCTTTCACCAGTTAGGGTTCCCTCATAAAAGAACGGGCCAACAATTTTTGAACCAATTATACCGCACCAAACGTTGAAACTGAAACGGACTTGTGGGCCTCTTGGATGTACTAACAAAAGATTTTCTCTTGACCAATAATGGTGGTTTTTTCTATTAAACATTCCAGAATTTGAAAAATTTGATTCATCTGTCCATAAAAGGTAACGAAAGTTATTTACATTTTGGCGACAGAAGCTAAGATACCAATGGCAAAAAACAAGTCTTCTCTCTGGATCCCCTGCCAAAAGCGTTTGAACTGGTCGGTACTTATACGGAATAAATTTGTATTTTTTTAAAATCCTTTGAACAGTACCATAACTGAAATTAGAGTCCTTGAGAATATCTGCTATTGAATTCTCACGATAAGCTTCAAAATATCCAATAACTGCAATTTCCGTGGCCTCGCTTATTATGAATTCTTTTTTTGCCCTTGTTTTAGCAAAAACATTTTCGTTGCCCCTAAATTTTCGATAAAGTCTCAGAAAATATCGTTCATACGGTTGAATGCGAGCGGGATATAATTCACTTTTCTTCATGGGAGAACATTTTTCTTTAAATTAATGACACAATAAAGCTTATAAACAAGTATTTACACTAATGTTTGACATTATTTGATTTTATCATTGTTTTCCAAAGCCTTCTAGTTGCGAGTATGTCCAGTTTAACAATTTGTCGCTTATCTTAATGCTGTCAAATCGCGAACGCCATGTTGTTTTCATAGCCGTCTTAATATTATAATACTGCAAATAATTAAAAATATTTATCGTTATTTTGACTTTATTTTTGACTTTAGCGGAAAAGTCATTATGAACTTTTTTGTTTAAAATTTGATGCTTTAACAGAAAAAAATATAATATACAGGGGTTTCCATTTAAAAAAATGTTATTTTACTGAAAAAAATCAAAATAACGACTCTCAATTGTTTTTTTTATTTCTCATTTTTACCAGCGTTAAAAATGCTACTAGTTTGCTAATTTAAACAACTTTGTATTTTTACTAATAACAAAGTTACCAATGGTGGACACTTAATTTGCATAACCCTGTATATATATATATATATATATATATATATATACAGGGTGACTTCGAAGTTGAGTCATTTATTTTAACAGTGAGTAGATCTGATCAAAAGAAATGTTTTTTTCCTTTACCATTTTTCTGGTAAAATTAAAGTAACAAAGTTATAGCCCTTTGGAAGTTTGAGTACTGCCCTGTCTCAATAATAATATGTTCGTGTTTGGCGACAACGGATATAATCCGCCTGACCGGTTCATCGCATCGGAAACAAAAAAGCGAAAGAATTTGAAACGTTTATCACGATGTTTTTCGTCAGTCGATAACGCGTTAGTGAATAGGAGTGTTTGTTGCGTGGCTCAAACGAAATCAAAAATGGCACATGTTTACGAAAATGCTGAACTTGTGGACATGATTCTTATTTACGGGGGGGCAGTCTTTACAAAATGCTCCCGGGTGCATCACGGATTTATGCGAATCGGTTTCCCAATCGAGTGCAACCAACCCCTCGTGCCTTTGTTAATGTAGTGCAAAGGGCTCGTGAATCAGGTGACTTAAGACCTCACAGGTCAGGGCATGCTGCTCCAAGACCGCACAATCAAATACAGGTCCGCACTGAAATACTTGTCGGGACGATACTTTATTAAACAAGGTAACATTTTTTTTTATTTATTTTTTTATTTTTACACACATATTTTGGTTTATCTTCCTTCTACAATCATTATCTGAAAATTAATGACTCAACTTCAAAGTCACCCTGTATATATATATATATATATATATGTATATATAAATATAAATATTAAGTTCGTATCATTTTAATTTCTTCATGTTTTGGTTATTCAAATTCTCTCTGACATTTATCAAATCATTCCGTGAATGCGGTTCATTAGACAAAGCAAACGGCGTGTGTCATGTTTACGGAAAAAGTAATTCATTTTGTTGGTAAGTAGCGTACTTTAATTCACTGTCACTACGGAAATGGTGTTTGATGATTAGTTTTTCGCAAATTTGCATACTTTTTGTAAAATTATGATAAATATTACAGGTCATTACCTTCAAAACCAATATCTAACATGGCGGCGTCAAGCGTGACATGATATCTTTAATCGAATATTCATTTTGGGAATGCCCGTCATAGACGAGAACGTTCCCGAAATGACAATATGTGGACAAAATATAACTTTAGTTTGTTTAAACAGATAACCATGCTAAATTTTGGTTTTAGGTATCTATTTAGTGCAAGTAATATGGAAAACTATAGAAATGAAAATATATGGAACGATTAAAACAGGATAGTATAGCTTATGAAAGGCATCATGAAAATGCTAATCCAAGGAAACGCAAGTTTTTTGATATCATGACACTTGAACAAAAACAGATGAAGAGACTGAAAAATAGGGAATATTACCAAAGCTGAAAAGAAATTTAAGACTGTTAGTCATATGACTGAAAATGAGAAGAAGAAACAGAGAAAATAGTGGAGAAAAAATGATGTTAAATATTTTAGCTAACAGCTCCCCAATTTCTGAAAATGAGATGGAAAACGATATTCGCGTGTTAAGGTAGAAATCTGGGAGAAAAAAGTTGAAAAATATAAAGCGCAGGTTTACAGAACCGCTAAAAAACAATATCATACAAGATATGCTAAGAATTATAGATAAAAAAGTAGAGAGAAGTAGAAGACGTAAAGAAAGAGCATCCCAAAAGAGTGCCGATACGCCTATTCGCAAATTAATGAATTGACAAGAGGATGGGCTATTACTCCGGAAGTTCGTTAACATCTATTGGCGATATTTTGACAACCCACCTAAATTACCAAAGAATTTTAAACAGCGAGAGGCTTTTCAGAAATCCATCAGTGGCAACCGAATCAAAAAACATTCTTTAAATAATTTGTACGCAAAAATAAAAATAGTGACATTTTAATATAAAATCGGATAAAATCCAATGTTTTTAATCACTAATCAGATTCGTTAAGAAATTCATGTTTTTTGACCGCCACGATGTCAGCAGAAAGTGTCCTGATAAGAAAGATTGCCTCAAGGGAAACAAACAAAAGCGGTTGCTACTAGAAACTGTTAAAAATTTATGTCCTCAATTTTGTGCCGAGACTGAAATTTGAGTATCTTATATCACTATTTTGAGAGAAAAGTCTTATTCTGCAGTGCAACCTACAAAAAGGGATCGAAATACGTATCTTTGTGTAAAGCACGAAAATTTTGAATACAAATTACACAAATTGCACCGACTAGGAAAGCTCCAACACAAATCTACATCTCAATTATTGATAAAAGCGTACAACTGTGATATTACTTCTTGTGACTGTATGTTTGGTTGGTGTAGTGATTGCAAGGAGGTCAAAATGGGATCTCAGTGGTAAGTAACAAAAGAAGACCGCATCAAAAGGAGAGAAGAAATCCGCCAAACTTACCAAAAGGGTCACTATTAGAAGTACAGTGATAGACTTGAAAATATCTTTAGCTGCGGATATTTCTCCAATGAAAAACTATGTTTATGGAATTGGAGAAAACTTGGAGACAAAAAGTGACATGAAAGATAATTTAAAAGAAACTGAGTGAATGATTCAGATTTTTTTCGCTGAAAATTATATGACAAAATATGGGAAAGACATTCAATCAATTAGATTTGTAGCTTCAAAAGGTCAATTATCTATCCACACAGGTGTTTTGTAAGTCAAAAGTGATACGTCTCTACAAGCTATTTCATTTGCCACTGTGAATAATAATTTAGACCAGGGCTGTCCAACTTAATGTGGCCCAAGGGCCACTTCAAAAAAAAATGCAGTTTGGAGGGCCGCATTATAAAATCTTTCTATACAACATTCTTACTGAGTTTTAATAGGCATATGCATATTCGGTATTTGAGAGTAATTTATACTTGTGATGTATACATGACCCGTGAAGCGGGCTGCAAGAAAGGAGTTCGCGGGCCGCATGTTGAGCAGCCCTGATTTAGACCATTAGTCAAATTAGGCTCATGATGTATGGGTTCACCTGAAATCAGGGTTACAGAAAATATTAAGTACCAGGCCGCGCGTAAATACCCTTCATGTGTTTTCAAACGAACTCACATCCTAGTACCGAACAGGACTATTGCAGTGCTAAAAAAACTGCTGATGCCCAAGTATTACGAGGAAACGATGTCAATACAGCTGCAGATTTTGTGTGTTTATTAACAAATTCAACTATTTTACTCCATGAAGTCACGGACGACGAAATAGTTGTAATGAAAAACATAATACCTGAAAAGATAGATGCTTTCCCCGGAATCATGAATGTAACCAAGATTGTTTGGCAGAATGCTGATGTGTTCATAATACTGTATCAATTTTAAAAACTGTTACAAGAAATTAAACTGCAGGCATTTTTAGTTGAATATAGAGGAAAAGAAAGTCAAGCGCGGTCAGAAATGATAGATTTAGACATAGAAATGAATCGAGAGTCCTCTTCATATCAGTAGAGAAAGCATTTACGATACTTCAGATGATGAGAATCTCCAAACGGTTTCAGATCGACTTCATGAAAAGAATGACGATATTGATGCTGGTACATCGTACGGAGAAGACAAGGAGAAATTGCATCCAAACCTGATACGCCCAAAGATATTTTTGCTAGTAAAGGTACCAACCGAAAATAAAAATTCTAAATACAGATATGATGCAGTCGCTGTCACCCAAGTTGATGAAGATGGTGAACTAAAAGTCATATTTCTAAGTTGTCAGGGGAACTCGGCAAAAGTATTCAAAATTGTACAAAATTATGTTTCATATGTCTCCTACGAACAAGTTGTTAAAATTTTACCCACACCGAAATTGCAGAAAAAAGGTTATCTATCGTAGCTTTTATTGTTTTGATGAAAACATGGACGTTATAGTTAATAATCCTCTTCCTTTTTATATTTATTTTTACGACAAGAAGTTCAAACAATTATGTTTAAGTATTAACTTGATACTCAAGTTACTTTGTGATATTATGCAATTATGAATGTAGTAATAATGCCTAATGTCTATTTATTTTGAAACTACAAAGTTTATTGTTATTCGATTTAAAGCACTGATATGCAAGTAATCTTAATGATAGTGTGCAATTAGAATTTTGTTCCTGATACCTATAATGATTGTGGATTGAAACTACAAAGTTTATTATTACATTTTAAGTTTGAATTTTGATACTCATGCTCCTCATCCCTTAAGTACAAATAAAGGTGTAAACTACAACGTTTACATTATTTTTATGCATAAAATATGTCAAAAACCATTCATCCAAAGAACGTCAACGTCATTTAGGGAACTTCATTATCATTTCGGGAACACCCCCATCATTTTCGGGAATGTCACAAAAACGGTAAATAAATCACTAATATGTAATGTTATAGTTAAATTTTACATATACAAGATGAAATTGGACTTTTGTATTTATGTTATTAATATACCACGTAGTGCAAAAATGTATAAAATAAATTGAAGTTTTGGAGCAGAATTTACGCCAATTCAAGATTTATGCAGAGTAATCCGAAAAATTAGTGTTTTGATTAGGAAAATATACAAATAACATAATATTCCGATTTAGGAACAGGTTTACTACAATTTATTGGAGTTGTTTCTTGAATACGTTAATTACACTATTATTTAAACTTGTTTAAAAGTATTCCCGAAATGACTCACTACTCTGGCATAATTATCGTTAACGGAATCTCGCGTGCCTTCCTGATAAATGGTACAACAAAAGGCAACTTAATTTCTCATATATTTGAAAACCTACAATGCTTACCTCTCTGATTTGACCCTTATTTATACGCTCCCAATCTTGGTAATTCTACGCACCTATTATACATATTTCACATATCATATATGTATTTCCCTGTACATTAGCCCTCCAAACTTCTCAGCAGACTAATTGCGTACCTAACGGCCGCGTATGCTTCTGCTCCTGGCGGCATGCCGGACTATGTTAGGTAACGGGGAGAGGCGACGTTGCCAGATGTACTACGGGTAGGGGAGGGAAAGAATTTCTATGGACTAATTATATGGACCTGTTTGACCGACTTTTTTCTCAGAGGGTTTGTTTTTTGTGCTGAACGTGAACATGCCTGATACAATGTTTAATATGTAACATCCGAATCTGTTAATTTCCTTAATGCTTTGATTATGCTACTTTTGAGTACCATGTTTCCATGACAAATCCAACACTGACTAGTACTTCTAGTGCAGCGGTCAGACATGCCCACAATTTTTAAGATTAAAATATTTTCAGGACCAGAGACTCAACCAAATGAATCTGGTGAAAATTATTATCAAAAAGACAGAAACGAAACCAGTGGCCACGCGCAGACACAGGCCTGTAAGACCAATGGGTATAACAATAAGGAAGTTATGAAGCCGACCATCAATGGCAAGATTTGAAGGGTGATAAGCAGGTATTTTTATTAGTATTTTCTGCAGTAAAATGTACTTAGGATTTAATTTATATAACTTATCAACAAAGATCATAGGATTTCAATAGTAACAGTATTTTTAATTATTTAAATTATCTTGTGTTGGAATCATTGGAAGCGTAGCTGAATAGCAGTGGCCATAGGATAACTTGTCAGTTTGACAGCAGTTTCCATCTTCTGGCTTTCAGATTTGATAGTTCTTTATGTTAACGCTATTCCACGGCTACTGCTATTCAGCATAAACGCGCTGGATCGCTTTACGTTGGCTGAACGCTTCCAATATCAACTACATTGTAATACAAAGTTGCTTGTGATTATAAAATGACCAATAGTATCGAAAATATTGAATTTTACAAATTATATCCAACACCTTATAAGTACCTGTCAATAAAAGTATTCTATATGTAGTTATGGTTTCTGATCCAACTGTAATTTTGTTAGTCATGATTCTATAAATTTTAATTGTTAAAAAACATCTTGTAATTTGTTTATGGACACAGATGTCATCATGCGATTATAAAATTGTAGTTAGTGTTGTATCAATTCATTTAAAGGTAGGAAATAAGTTCTAGCCTGTGATTATATAAATAAAGTCGCCCAAAAACTACGATACATGTTTTTATTGATATTGGGGTTGGAATGTTACTAAATATCATTTATGTATGAATGCATATTTCTTGCGAGATTTAAGAGTATATCTAACGCGACTTGGTAGGCGTTAAATTATCAGAGTATAATATTGTTTTTGAGTATTGCTATAATTGCATTGAATTAGTAAATTGAAAGCAAACTTGCATGCTTGGAAAATTTGGTTGTTTTATTGACGCGTTTATGCTTTTTATAAGCTGTGTGGGTAAAAGCGCAGGGTGGAAATCTAACAAATCAATGTTATATGTTATAAATAGAATTTCATCATTGCCAATTTTTCAGATATTAGAAAACTGCAAGCAATTGCAAACTTGCGAGTGCCCTTCAATCCGTTAATCTGGCCTCGTCACAAGATTTGTTCTTAGCTGAAATGTCCTGTCCAGACAGTTTCCGAGATTTTCCGATTAATTTCTTTTCGCTTTTTATACAGGGTGTTTTCAAAGTCGAGTCATTGATTTTAACTGCTTCTAGGACTCGACAAAAGGAGTTGACACAAGGGTGGTCTAAAAAGTGTCCAACCTAACAAATATACCGTATATTCACTGAATCAAAGCAGGTACGTCACAACGTCAAATAATGACAGTGACGCACATGGTTGCCACATTAATTAAAACTACTAGATCCTAGGACGTTTTGTAAAATTACACAACATCCTAAAACAAATATAAAAAAATGAACTTTGAAATTAAATTTTTTCAAAGTATTTATTATACAAAATTCTCAGAATAAAAGCTTACGTATAAATAATAGTATATATAAAGATATATTTTTTCCTTCCTTTTTAATAGTCTTCACTGATTTCAAACTACTGTCTTGCCATGATCGACCTGGTGTGCCATCCTGAAAGATCCATGTTTCGTCCAAAAAAAAAACTGAAATTTGTTTGATGATTTGTAGTCTAAGTATGCTCGAAGAAATGCTATTCTTTTAAAAGCAATGTGACGTGGGTCATCTGTTTGCCATTTAAATCCCATTTGTCGTGAAGATGTCCACAATAATACTTTTCCACCCATAAATAAATTTCGATCTTTTAGTTTACTTGCCAATGCGGAAAGTGTAACATGTTCTTCTGAAATTAAAACACAATAATTATAGCAATAAATTTTGTATTATATGCAGTGAAAATTAAAAAACCCACTTTGTTTATACATGTCATAGAACACATGATTGGATGAACTCAATGCAGTGACAGTCTTCTTGTGAGGAAGGTTTTTCTTTGGAGATTCAGGTACTTTACCAGCTTTGCATTGAGAAGATAACCTACTTACCGCATCAGCGACACGCTGAAAAAACGTAGATTAATAAACAAAATAAATTCTATTTACTACCTAATACCTCTCTCACGGATTGTAAAGGCAATAATGGAGTTCCATGAATATTTCGTCAAAGAAATGACGAATTCTTCTGCTTGTCGACCCAGAGGTTTCGGCATTTTAGCAAAATGGTTAACAGGATACCTCAACGTTTGGAAAAAAACAAATAAACAACTGCCGTTGCTGACAAGCTTTGCGATAATGTCATAACACAGAAAACTGTTACCAACATAAATGTACCCAGGAAATTGAAACTGCACGTACCAATTTAGGATCTATTTTGCATTAAGTTTGGCGTTCAAATTTACTAAATATGACGTAACTGCTTTGTTTCAGTGAAATGACTATATAAGATATTTTTTCTGAATTTCTTTTATTTTTCAACATATTCTCCTTGTAACTCTACAGACTTCTCCCAGCTATGCTCCCATCTCTGTAACTCGTCCAAATAGTACACGGCGTTTTTCTCTGCAAAAGAATTGTTCACGAAGGTGATTTTGCCTCCTCATTTGAAGAAAATCTGTCCTCCGAGCGCAATTTTTACATGAGGGAACAAAAAGAAGTCGCTTGGGCCTAGATCTGGTGAGTAAGGCAGATGGTCAAGCAGTTCAAACCGTAATTCGTGGATTTTCGCCATTTCAACCGCTGAGATGTGAAACGGTGCGTTGTCTTGGTGAAACAGGATTTTCTTTTTCTGCAAATGTGGCCGTTTTTCGGCAAGCTCTGCCTTCAGCTTGTCAAGTAGTGATGCGTAGTATGCTCCTTTAATGGGTTTTCCTTTGTGAAGATAATCGATTAAAATTACATTTCTTATCCGTTCTTAAAATTACATATGTAAATTTGCTGAACTTCAAAAATGAGAGAGATAAGAAATAATTCGGGGCCTCGGTTGGCCGCGTTGGTCAGAGTGTCGTGCTACTGATCAGCCGGCCGGCCGTGCCGCGAGTTCGAAACTCGCCTTCGCCATGGACGTTGTGACGTCGTGTGTTTGTCCATAATTAGAGAAATATAAGTAACACACATCTGTGGCAAATGGATAACTTCCAATGCCAAAAAAAAAAAGAAATAATTATGTTCACTGTACACTGTCGAATGTCGAATTACAAGCCATAAATCAAATTCAAGCGGATAACCAAATGAAAATGGCACCACTTATGAAAATTAGTTGAGAAATGAAGTACATGCATTACTAGAAGATGTTTCGCTAGCTAGGAGAATCAATATGATATACCAGCATGATGGCTGCCCAGCCTATTACTTTCGAGGTGTACGACAATGGCTGGATGAAAACTATGGATCGGTCGAGGAGGCCCAACGCCGTGGCCGGCAAGAAGTCCAGACTTGACGCCTTTGCGATTTTTACATTTGGGGACACATGAAACAATTAGTGTACAACACATCCGTTGCAGATATCGAAGATTTGAGGCAGAGGATTTTGGCAGCCACCGACGAAATGAAACGCACTCTTTCAACAAAAGTGACAGTGACCCAACTACGTCATATGCTACTTGCTTGCATACGTAACAATGGCAGGCTATTTGAACCAGATTTATAGTTTTTAACACGTTCAGCGCCAAATGCCCACCGGTGGACATTTGTGTTTTACCAGAGGGACCACGTGCCCACCGGTGAGCATTTTATGTTTGCTGATTCAGCGCCGCATGCTCACCCGTGGACACGATTTATACGGGTTTCAAATACAGAGTGTTTTAGCCTAGTCCCAGGGACAGACAAATTTGTCTTTGGGCCGGGCAGTTACGGTAATCTTGGCATAGATATGAGTAAGTGAGTGAGTGACTAAGTCATACCATAAGTGTTTTTTATTATGTTATGTAGGTGATTAATTAGGTGATTTACAACTAAATTCTACAAATATGTATAACTCATATTCTGGTTGTCCTAAGCCTATAAAAAGTGTCCTAAACCTATGAAAAAAATCATCATCACATAAAAAGTGAGAACAAAAAAAAAATTGTTTCTTGAACACAACCTAAACCTATGAGAATATGAACTTGCACATAAAACATCACTTATTTTTTATCTCAAACAAAAACAAATCTGAATCTTCAGAAATCGACAGAGTAAGATTTTATTCGTTGATTTGATGATTTTGAAAACACATTATAGACATTGGTTCATTACATTTGTCGCAGAATGTTTACTTTTTTCGCATTTTTTCTGGCGAAAGTGGCGTCATGTCACCTTGACATTTGTTTGTAGCACTGTGTACATCTCTTCCTTGTTACTCTTTTCGGTCCCTCAGTTTCTTTCAGTGCGTGTCTATTTGAGGTATTAGGTCTATCTATGGAGGCTGAATCCAGACAAACGAGATGTCGAGAAACTTCTTTTTTGAATGCAATTATGTCCATTTTCTTGTTGTTTACTCTATTATATAGGTGAAGGGCATTGACTACCGTAGTGGAGGTAATCAAATAAAATACAAGTCTTTTATACCACTTCACGGTTCTTCTCACAAAAGGAGCATAAGCAGCCATTTGGTCGGAAAGATCTATGAATGCTTTTCCTTGGTTATAGTCGAGAATAATAGCGGGCTTGCTTACTTCTACAAGTCTGTGTAGATATTGCACAACAGAACTATCATGTTTGGTACTGAGTACCAATACGTCTCTTTTGTCTCGCCACTTGAGAACTACAGTTTTATCTTCGTTTTGCTGAGCTATCACATCTCCTTTATTCAGTTTTGCTTTCACGACGTCGGGAGGATTATATCTCCTATTTGAGCGAAGTGTTCCAACTAGATGTGTACTACGTTTTAACAGTGTCTTAGACAACACAACACTAGTGTCCAAAAGACCTTACATCAATTCTATTACCACCTTTTCGGCAACAGACACATTATCAGTTTTTTCTTTGCCCGTATACACTTTGAATGACCAAGTATAGCCACCACTCACGAAGAGTTTTAAAAGTTTTATCCCATACTTGTGTCGTTTATTGGGGATGTAAAATGAATGCGACCACGAAATGGCACATTTGTCTCGTCAATACAAATCATCTCTTCGGGAATATATGACTCTTTGAATTTGGGTTCTAGTAAATTCAAAAATGGTGACATTTTGAAGAGGCGGTTATTGGGATCTCGTGGTTCATTGTTATTGGATAGATTGAACATAGAGAGCAACATTTCAAATCTGTTTCTGCTCATTACTTTTGGAATCTTATTGTGAAGAAGCACATCTGTAGACCAATAATCACGCAACTTTGGAAGATGCATCACTCCCATCCAGATGATCATTCCCAAAAATGTTTGTATTTCTACAAAGTGTGTGTCTACCAATTTGCTTATTCTTGATTTGCCGCTACAGTTTGCGATGCAAACCTGTTTGTTTCATTGACCAGTAATTTGAATGAAATGAAATGTTGAAAAAATGAAACCGGGTCTTCACCACTTAGCTTCTGAACGACATCTGGATGAAAAACAGTATAGGGAACACTGAACGGAAAATGATTTCGTGCTTCAGCTACAGCTTCCCACTTTCGTTTTTTGACAAAGTTGATCAAAGGGATGTTATCAGAAGAGTCGCTTTCTAGATCACTGGGATTTTCATCTTCCGAACTAGAATCATCTTTCATTAGGTGAATAGTTCTGGTCTGCTAAAGAATCATCAGAAAATCCGGTTCTTCGTCCTCCGACATGTTTTCTAGCTCTTGAGCTATTTCTTGATCCGTTAGGCCGCGTGTAGTTATTGTTACTAGTTATTGATCTGTAACAAAAGAAAATAACACGTGATATACGCGATGACCACGGGTGGCCATTTGGTCCGACAGTGTAATTTCACTCCGTGGGACGGCGTGACCACCGGTGGCCACGGATTAAAAAAAATTAAAACACGGAAAAATGTTCAAAAAAATGTAAAAGAATGGGATTACATATCATAAAAAAGCAACATTATATCAATAAACAACAAACAAATTTTGGTCCCGTGGAGAGGTATTCTGATTCACCTGCGGCGCTGAACGTGTTAAGTACCAACCTTGTGTCTGTTTCATTATTTCTTTATAAAGTATATGTTTTTCTTTAATTAATTAGATTTCAAACTTCACCGAGCTCGTTTAATTTAAAAATTTAGTTGTACCTAACCCTTTGTACGGTTTTTTAGGATATGCCTGAAAAAGTTAAATTTGTACTATCGTTGAAAGCTCATGAAATTCTGTAATTATTTTGGTAATTTGTATGCCGACTTTCATACATTTTATTTCAAATAACTTATGTTGATTTTCGGAAATCATAAATAAAAATGAAAATCTCTTCATTAACAGCCTTTTATTTCTAACAGTTTCAAACTTTTGGTATAGCATTTTTATCTCAATTATTTGCGAGTTTCACAGCTCTCAAAAAACTATCAATTCAGTTCCAAGAAATGAGTCGATTTTTAAAAAAAAATTGTATTGATCAGTAAGCAGAAAATTCTTAAAAAATCTTGAAATGCCGGTATCTCGGAAACCGCTCATTTCCGACCCCCAGTTGATGGGGATTAATTTATCACAAATAACCTCTAGAATCAAGACTTTCAGAGAATAGGTCGAATTTCCAATTACCCTGTATATATGATCGTGTGTATATTTAATTTTTTGTCACGACTTTTAAATCACCCAGTATTAGTTTGTTGAACAGTCGTTTTGATCTTCTTGATCGGATCGCCCTCAGAATCGCTATTCTGTGATATTTCTAACAACTCCTGATCTGTTAACCCACTATGAGAAATTTCGAAGATAAATATAACGTAAAATAACTAAAGTATCAGTACTCGTGTTCGAAGAATAATGGTCAAGTAAACGTGCTGCAACCTGTCTTGATGCTGCCACCTGTGCGACAATTCTCTGCATGCCACCACCGACAATTTTCGATTATATGCATAGTATTTAGTACAAACAAATACCGACATATGCTGATTAACACGTTTCCCGTAGTTAACAGGGACCTCTGTCACTGCGTAAATATACGTTTCCCGTATACCAGACACTACCTTTTTTGCAAATATAACCGGCTCCCGTCGCGAAGGCGAAAGGGTTAAGAACTCTATTCAACTGTGCAGAAATCCAATATCCATCCAATCCACAAGAAAAAATAAAATTGATGCAGGAAGACGAGACGAAACGTTCATAATGAAATTCTGATTATGCCTTCTTGTAGAGGAGAAAAAGTGGCAATGTTATGATCAATTTATTTTGATATCTATCGGTAAGTGCAACCAAAGATGCCATACCCTAGCCTAGATGCGATGAGCTCGCGGAAAGTACTGCAATATGTACTGATACTGATTTTCTATAACAGCTTGGATTAGAATTGAATTAGCCTGGACGATCAAGTTAGTTACGTTAGTACATAATACTGTAAATGTATTATGGTATAAGTAAATATACGCCTGAAAATAGACAAACTATTGAGGTTGAGTGGTTTGAACTTGTGGTTTAAAAAGCGGGGCATAACAAAAAGGTACCAAAACTGGAGCATAACTTAATGGGTAAAAAATACAATGTAGTGAAATGGCAGAATTTGAGAAATAGTTTCGTATGTGTAGTCGTCCCATTTCATTTTAGAGCAACGGTCGTTGCAGATTTCAGTGGCATAAATAACGAGTATATAGGTACATATGCCTAGTACACAATCAACATCGCTTATCTACGACCAGGCGATAAATTGAACTTTGTAGATAGGCTTTTTGGACGTTAAATCTGTTTTCATCCCACGGACTCCACGTTCAGACATTGCATCATATTCGTTGTTAGGGCGTACTGACATGACCGTTCAATTTTTCTTCGTATTTTTAATGTTCAAACCTTAACGCCATAAATGCATAAATAACTATTAGTGCCTTTTCATATAACTTTTAAATAAAATTTTGGCATCTAGAAACCATGGGCAGTAACTGAAGTGTAAAAAAATCGCACCATGGCACGAAATTCTTGACATGGGGCGATTTTTTCTTTGGTTGCATTTACCGACATTAATTTGTCGGAGTCGGAACTTACCGATACCCGTCGGTAGACCAAATACTATTATTCCACAGCGTGTTTCGTCGTACTTACAACTTTTCCACAGATTATGTAATATGTCATCAGTTTTTGTTTAAATGCTATTTTAATACTATAAGATTTGATACATCACATTACGAGAATCATTCACAATTCGAGACCACCCGTTTCATCAACTAATTCATCTAGTATTGAATACAGATATGTCTCTATTATATGAGAAGACAAATAGCGAACCTACACAGAAAAGAAGTACAGCAATATTTAACATGAAAAGCTAAACGAAACACAAGTAGAGCATCCAGTTAAAAATATAATACACGTCCTATGTTCATTATCAGATATTTAACATGACATTTATTTAGTGTTATAAGTCACGTCTTGGCCTTGTCTGTTTGTTCATTATTTTAAGGCTGGTAGATTGATAGATGTCTATATTTATAGATTTGCAAATTCTGGTAAGACAATTTCCAGTTCGCAGTAAATAATGGGTATGTTTTAGTATTTACCAGTGCCTATGTCAGCAGTATTAATACCTATTGAAGCTGCAATGGGCTAATTGATCTGTTTAATTGTATATTGCCTATATGTTTTCTCATATACTTATAACCTTTAATTTTGGGATTCAAATACACACTGGCACGAAATTCTTCATATGGTGCCAGTTACTGCCAATGGTTCCTAGTTGCCAAAATATTGATTAAAATTTATATGAACAGGCACTAATACAACAACGAATATGATGCAATGTCTGCCCGTGAAGTCCGTAGGATGAAAACTGAGATTTAACGTTCAATAGCCTATCCACAACGTACAATTTACCGCCCGGTCGTAGATAATCGATGTTGATTGTGTACTAGGCGTATGTATCTATTAGGGCTTGAACTTCCCATCGTTTGTTGTGGAATATAACCTTATCTTTTCAATAATACGCGCTAAGTGTATATGCGATAAGTTATACATTTCGTTATTCATGCCAATGAAATCTGCAACGACGGTTACTCTAAAATGAACTGAAGTGACTACACATACGAAACTAGCTCTCAAATTTTGCCATTTCAGTACATTAGGTTATGTTCCAGTTTTGGTACCTTTTTGTTATGTTCCGCTTTTTAAACCACAAGTTGAAACCACATAACCTCGATAGTTTGTCTATTTTCAGGCGTATATTTACTTATAGCATAATATATCTGCTACAATAATATGTACTGAAGTAACTCTATTGATCGTCAAGGCTGATTCAATTCTAATCCAAGCTGTCGATATGGCAAAATAAATCTATCAGGACATTGCAGGACTTTCCGCGAGCTCATCGCATCTAGGTTAGGGCATGACGTCTTTGGTTGCACTTACCGACGTTTGTCGTTAATCGGTAAGTGCCGACGAGTTCCAGAATAGCAGTCCAGGAAAAAGATTAAAACGATTTTGGGAACATTCGTCCGTCTCTCTCCGGAAGTACTTTGAATTGCGGAAATTTCTAAGCTGCATTTTGTTCATTACCTAAATACGCAACTTTGCCTCCATTTAAGCGACTTCGTATCTCTAACAGTTTCCGAGGCGCCAATGGTGAGGATCGAATTTGAAGCGCCCTGCATATGCTAAAATTCATCAAAATCAATACAGCCGTTTTGGCGTGGAAAAAAGAACATGCACACTTTCATATTTATATTAATAGAGATAATTATTTGTTTTCTGACTGTTAATTGAAACCACGTAGCCTCGAGTGTTTACTAACGTTTCGGCCAGCTCGATGGTCTTTCTGAATATACAGGTCAAAGCCTTCATATCGTCGCTTAAGCTCTAACACCGCGTAACTCAAAACTGACTTTTTACTAGAGCAAAAAGAACCATGGGTCTCTCAATTTCCTATCGAATGCCATGAATATCTCATAATCATCCACGCTCGTCTGGCCTCTAAATAAAACTAGATATGCTTGAATTACTGTTAATACTAACGGTGTTTCGGCCACCATGGTGGCTTTTGATTTACGCGGTATTAGAACTTAAGCGCTGTTATGTGCTTACATTTAGCGTCCCGAAAACATGGTGAATTATCAACATGAAAACCACGTTTCAATTCAAAATTCAGTCTTCATTTGTAAGTGGACCTGCATTTTCTCAAATTTCGCTGGGCTTTGTACTTAATTCGCTTAACTACTTGTTGCTTCTCAAAGCGGTCTGGCCGCCATTCGCTTTGTTAGCGGGAAGAAGAAAAAAGATGATAACAGTCAACAAATTCATTTATTTTACACCATATTAGACATAGTCGTATCTCCTTAGAAACCTTGTTCCTGGAAAAATAAGATTATCTTAGTTTCGGAAACACTACTATCATTAAAAATTTGATGTCAACACAGGAAAATCACAAAATCATGCAAAAAAATAAAACAAACAATAATAGAAAATAATAATTTATTTAAAAAAACTTAGAAGGGGTACAATTTTAAGTCTTACACATTCATATATAGGTATGTTGTTCTACATTCAGTCATGCCCTACTGTAATGCCTATTAGTCGGCTGAAAATATACTTGTAAATATTCCATTTTCATGAAAAATGTAGAACAAATAACGGAAAATGAAGATATCAAAGTTATGAATAATTAATTACTATACAACATAGGTCGAGTTGTGGTATTACCTTATTACATTATTTTCTCAGGTGGATCATGATTCAAATGTAAGAATATCGTGAATATGTAATAGCGCAACAGTCAATGCAACATAGGTATATTGTAATGTAGTTAACTAACCATACTTCACAAACGTAATACTCACTCTCAAATATTGTTATTTAGTATCACAGCTTTTTTTCTTTTTTTAGTAGCATTATATTAACAATAACATAAATCAAATAGGGACTGACAGAATTGTGTTGACACAAAGTTGCCCAAACACGAATCAATTCTGGGAAGCATTCGCCAGATCATGTAAAATCGCCAATACAATACAGCCGAAAGCGTCCAAGGTTTTTATAGAAAGGGTGACCCATTTAGAGGTACTTTTTTGGTGTGGCTGTAATTGCTTATGGCGCATGCGCCATGACAACTAATTTGACATTTTCTGTTTCAGTATTGTTCGACATTTCATCATGGAAAGACTTAGTCCAGCACAGCGTCTACAAATAATTTAGCTGTACTAAGAAAATCAACGTTCTGCGAGAAGTGTGTTTCGTGCACTTAGAGCAACTTATGGTGTACATAATCGGCCCACCGAACGCACAATTCGCCCTACGGTCGAAAAATTTGAAAACCAATTTTCATTATTGGATGATACCCGACCAAATAGACCACATCTAGCACGCAGTGAAGAAGATATAGCTGCGGTAGCTGAGAGTATACTGCCGTCGTAACAAAGAGTGCCGTATCTACATTTTTTTCATTTTTGAGTTTCATATGTATTCTTACTATTTAGACCAAGCCCAATTCATTTTTTTACCATAAAAAACCGTATCTATAATATAAGTGGCCCAAAGTGCACATACGTTTATGACAATATGACGTAATAAGTAGAGTCTTTAGGTTAGAAAGGTCTAACAAACAAACCTTACTTATAAAACCATATCTGCAATGCTACGGCATATATTGTAAAATTTAATGTTAAATATGTAAAGTAGTTGTTACGTAGAAACTCGTATCCAACGATGCAAACTTAAAAAACCGTAACTACCCTGCCGCCCAGTAGTTACGGCTTTTTAAGTTTGAAACATTCTTCATAATTTGATGCGTGTCGACCTTTCGCTTTAGTTAACGTTTACTCGTGAGCTTGCCAAGTTGCTACGGTGTACTACAGAAAAACACGTGTTTTCAACCAGTGTTGTGATCCATTTTAAGAATATACATCTTCTTATGAACCACAAACACCTCGGCAAATACAGGTATGTTAATAAATAATTAGAAATAGTAGTCTATAAGAAAAATACAGCCGAGTGAATCAACATAACCTCACTTCGTTCCCGCTAAGAATGGAAAACTAAATGGAATGGCAGCATTGGTAACTGTGATTGTTTAATACTAACAGAAATTCCTAACTGCGACTAGTTTCAACGCTTTTTATTTTTTGTACATGGAATATAAAGCAAGATTTAAAAAAAATACTTAACATCTTTGAAATTAATAAATGGTAGTAGTGAATTACAGAAAATTTGCATGAAAGGATATCAAACACTACAAAATTTATGAATTGCTTTTGAATTGTTACCAGAGTTGCTGTTTTGATTTCTATTCATATTAACTTTTTATTTCTATGGCATTTAATTTTTCTATGTATGTCAGATACAACTAATCTTTTGATTTCAGCTGTCATTGATTGTGCCCAAAAATGAAGCGCAGGACCCAAACAATAATCAATCTGGCACAAGCGGTTGGAGTTGCAGATATCAATTCATTTCCAAAACACATTACTTTAACATCGGAATCAAATACATTCCATACTTTGACGGCCATTCAGGATGGATTTGAGGGCACTCCGATACCAACATCATCTTTAGACTTGACGTTAGCCAATGATTTGCCTGCTGTTGATACGCCTTTATATACTGAAGCCTATCTAAATCCTGCAGTTCGTTCAGATAAAACTAGTGAATCAAATTTGCCAGTAGTGTGTACGAATATTTCACCAGTACAAAATAATGACGGCATGTCAATTGAAATAATATATAAAAACGATGACAAAGGTGGCTTATCTGATATTGATACAAGCATACTGGATGCTGTGAATTTGTTTTCCTCATCCGAAGTCGAATCTGCTATGACACTTGCACTTGATCACTCACCTCCAGAGAATGATGGAAATATAGAAAAACAAACAGATAGGTTGGAAATTGAAAATGACGAGGAAAATGAAACTATTATGCATTAAAAAGATATCAGCAGCTAGACGTGAAACCATTAATGAAGAATTCTGGAGTCAAGATTGGACTGCAAGAAGAGTTTTTGTGCTTCATACAACAGAAAAAGTTGGAGTGAGAAGACGAACAAAATCAACTTTGCCAGGGGACTCCAGAAGAAATAATACGTTAAAATATAATCTCACTGATGAAAAGGGTGAATCTTTCCAAGTTTGTAAAATATTTTATTTGTCAACATTAGGTTTCAGTTGTAATAATGACACTATTGTAAAGTTGGTAGGCAGTTGTTCAGGTATAACGGTAGAAAAAGATAAGAGAGGGTTACATTCCAAACACAAGAAAGTTGATCGACAAGTTATTTACGATCATATTCAGAAATATCATCCCTGCACATCCCATTACCGACGCGAGCATGCTCCAAATAAGTTATACTTACCTTCTGATATCTCCATTAAAATGATGTATAGCGATTTTGTTAAAATTAATCCCACGATGCAATGCTCATATGAACTTTACAGAAACGTGGTAGTTAAAGAAAATAATATTACTTTTGCTCATCTCGGTCATGAGGAATGTGAAATTTGTGAGGATTTCAAGTTACACAAAAAAAATTTAGACTTAACATGTGAGTGGTGCAAAAAATGGGACGTTCATATTAAACGCGCACAGACTGCTCGTCAATTTTACAGAAATGATGTTATTAAATCCAAAGACTCGCCTGACCTGTATTTTTCTACAGATTTACAAAAAGTAATAACGCTTCCTCGACTTGATATGTTCAAAGATGTGGTCTTTACCCAACGCATAATTGCATTCAATGAGAGTTTTGTACCTCTCGGGAAAAATTCCCACGAGAGACCTTTTGCGATGTTGTGGCATGAAGCCATTGCAGGGCGTAAGAAAGAAGAGATTATAAGTGCTTTTTTTCAATTTTTTATTAATTATCGGGACCAAAAAAATATTATACTTTGGCTTGATAATTGTACTGGCCAAAAAAGAACTGGGCATTATTTTCGTTTCTTGTCTATTTGATCAACTCTGATTATATTGGCACTGAAACAATAACTTTAAGATATTTTGAGCCTGGACATACATTTATGTCTGCAGACAGCTTCCACCACCAAGTGGAAATGTCCTTAAAAAAGAACAAAAAGATCTATGACTTTGTCGATTTTGAACGTTCTGTTTCTAGTGCAAATTCCGGTAAGGTTGCGACAAAATCTATGTTTTTTTCTGATTTTTATAACTGGAAAGACCATTTCATCAAAGGCCATCTTAAGCAGATTAAAACCCAAAGTGTATATATCCAATCTGGTCGAAGTAGTTGCCAAACGAGGTTCTCTCTGTTTGGAATATAAAACTAATTTCTTGGATAGTGACTTTAAAAAAACTTAATTTTCTGAAAGTCTCTATTACTAAAAATAACCATCAAATGTTACACCCTGAAAAATATTGCGGAAATAGGGGAATACCCGTTATGAAACGAGATAACATTTTAAAAAACCTATCGTCAATTATGCCGAGAGACAGGCTTAGGTTTTGGGAAACAATTCCAGTCTCAGACGAGTCTAATGATTTAGTTGAAAATTTTGAATAGAAAAGTCTATGTAGGTATTATACATGTATCTATATATTATGTATTACTGTTTGTTTTAATGTGCTTTTTTCACCAATAAAGTAACGTTATATGCTTCAGATGTTATTTTTACTGATAAAATAACTATTGCAGTGAACAGGGTTTGTACAAATAAATTCATCATTATTCCAAATGCCATATTTTCATAATATTATATAAGTTGTTAAGTATTATGAGCATTTATATTATACACATATGTATAGTATAATTTTAACTTAAAATGCCGTATGCGTGTTTACTTTACAGTTACGGCTCTTTTACCTGAATTAGTTATTGCAATATCACCTTAGTAGTAACGTTAATAGCCGTAAATACAGTTTTTGCATAAAATAACGTATTTAAACCGTAAAAACGATATCAGCAATTTTTTCAAATTGATCTTTACAACCACTTACTATTTTTGAAAAATATAGCAATGTATTAAACTTGTGAGAAACCAAAGCGCGTTTACTAGATTTTCTCGAAACGAAAGTTTTGCAGATACGGCACTCTCTGCTACGACGGCACTATACGTGAGGACCGTGAAGAATCGATTCGGCGCCGTTCTCAACAGCTTGACTTGTCGTATTCAACAACTTGGCGTATTTTACGTAAGAATCTTAATTTGAAACCATCTAAAATTCAACTCGTTCAAGAATTGAAGTCGGCCGACGTTCCAAAGCGTCATCGTTTCAGTCTTCGGGCTCTTGCACGGCTTGAAGAAGATCCGATGTTTTCGAGCAAAATTTTGTTTAGCGATGAGGCCCATTTTTGGCTTAACGGCTACGTTAAATAAACAAAACTGTCGTATTTGGGGTAAAGAACAACCCGAAGTGGTTCAAGAGTTGCCATTACATCCAGTGAAAACAACGGTTTGGTGGGGTTTATGGGTTAGTGGAATCATCGGTCCCTATTTTTTTAAAATGAGGCCGGTCAGAACGTAACTGTGAATGGTGCTCGTTACCGCGCCATGATAAGGGATTATTTGCTGCCTGAAATTGAAGCCCGTAATCTCGATGACATTTGGTTCCAACAAGACGGCGCCACTTGCCACACAGCCCGTGCAACCACGGCTTTATTGCGAGAACATTTCGATGAACACTTAATTTCACGATTTGGACCAGTGAATTGGCCACTTAGATCATGTGATATCATACCTCTAGACTTTTTCCTTTGGGGCTACGTTAAGTCCAAAGTCTACATTGATAAGCCCAATACGATTGAGGAATTAGAAGCCAACATTACGCAGGTCATTCGCCAAATTCCAGTCGAAATTTTCCAACGTGTCAAATTGGAAGTTTAGAATGGACCATCTCAACCGCAGCAGGGCAAACATTTGAAAGAAATAATATTTACAAAATAAATGTCAAAAATATTTCTTTTCTTTGATAAAAAAGATTTGACAAGAAAAAAAATGTTATTTTATTTTGTTGCTGAAAAAAGTACCTATAAATGAATCACGCATTATAAAGAATGGTCAAACTTTGTATCGCATCAACACAATTCAATGGGAGCATTCAGAGACCTTTAGCGCTAAAGCACTTTATGTCAGGTGCTATTTCAATTAGGTGAATACTTACATTAAGGGCTACAGTGCTGCCATCTGAATGCGCCCAATAAGAATAAGAAATTCCAAGAAGGGTGCATCTAGAATCTACATAAAAATATTACTACACAAAAACTAATTTCACCATAAACTGTCCACAAAAAATACAATGTGGAACAAACAGAAGCTTCACGACTGACTTTCAAGCTATCAACCATTTCTTTCTTAAGATTTTGGTTATGACAAAATAGGCAAAATGAATCAAGACAGTTGCCTTATCAAAATTTATAGAAATTTTCAAATGACACTACAGATTAGGATGCCTCAACATGATGCATTGTGTCGTTAGGTAATCTTCCATACATATTGATAAAAATTAAATACAAATTATATTGATCAAAACACATATTTCCATTTTACTGTTATGAAACCTTTTAAAAAAACTGAACCGTTAATAACATAAATTCCAACAGACAAAGAAACTAAATTAGAAAGAACTACAGTATGAGAAGAATGTTTACTACATACACACTTTAATACAAAAACATCATTTCCAAAACAAGTTTAGCAACTTATCTACGAACGTTTCCTCACTTTTTCAAATATCTACTTACTTGTTCATTTTGGTTGGTCGTTTGGGATGAAATTCCTTGCTGCTGGACGTTTTGCACGCTTACAGCTACTAATGGCGTACCTGCATATTAAATACGTTTCTCAGTTTCAATGTAGATTATGGAAAATAACCTCAACCGCGTTTTTTGAGATAGTATGGTAAGATTGTATAGAGCATAAAGCGCAATTATGCCATTACAGATAGAGAAAGTGCAATCTTGAAGACCCGCAATCGATCCCAAGCTATAAAATTGTTAAGACATCAAATTTCAAATAAATCAAATATAAACACAGGGGTACCTCGACGAGCAGTATTAGATTCAATCATATTCTTGGTCTATACTAACGATTCGTAGTTTTTGCTGACGATACCACAATACGAAGACAAGACAAAGATATAAATGAAATTAAAACAAAAATTGATGGTGATATACTATCAATTAAAAAATTGTGTGAATAATTACTTGACTTTCAATGTTATTAAGACAAAATTTATGACATTAAAATGCTCCCTCGATTTTATAAATTTAAATAATGAATTGATACACAAAACATACACCATCAAATTTTTGGGTCTGCACTTAGTCAACTAGCAAATATTTCCTTCATTATAAGAATAATTAGTTACAACAAAGGGAACAGCACAGCCTTAAGCAGTTACTTTGCCTTATATGAAAGTAGATTGAGATATGGCATTCCCTTTTGGTGTGTCTGTTCCGAAAATTGTTTTAAAAAGGTGCTTATTCAAAAAAACGAACTATTAGACATATAACCAAAGCAATCCTAGAGCTACATGCAAGCCCTTATTTGTAAATCTAAATATGAAACATTAAGTATAACTTACAATATTAGACGAAAACAAGTTCAAATAAGTAGTAACTAAAACAACACTTTTGAAGTTAGCTTTGTCATTAACAATGATTGTATTTTTCAGCAAAATAATACATATTTATCTGTATTTCGATCACCTGGAGCATTTGACGTATATTGCAATGGCAAGGTACATGTTGGCTTCTGAAGATATATATTGTAACAAGAATGAGTAGTACTGTTGGGGACAGCGCCAGACTCTGCTTCGGTGGCAACATCTGTTGGGGACCGAGAGACCCTCCTTCGCTGCTGGCGACGTCAGTTGAGGACCACGCCAGGGACTTTTCTTCGAGATCGACGTGAAGTGACCGATTCTCGACTGCCGCTATGTGGCTCACCGGAATCTTCTCGAATCAACGAGTCCCTGTGGTGCGGACTATATAACTCAACGGCCGGGAGAGGGAAGCAGAGTAGAGTATAGTTCAGTGAATGGCGCAACATAAATCGTAAATAAATAGTCAGACATAAATAGTGGTGTATATAAATGTTCTATCTAGTCAAGTTAAATAAATTAGTGCATTTCTTTTTGTGGAATCCAGTGTCTTAATCCACACAAAAAAAAACACAGAAACACGCTACAATATTTGGAAATAGCACTAAAAAATTTGTTATACACCTTGGGAAATAACATTATTATACATTATGATGAGGAAGAGAGATGGAAATATACAAAAGTATGTAGGTGCGTGAAAGACACTCGATTGTAGGATCCTATGTGGCAGCGTCGGAGTGTGACGGACAACGGGGTAAAGTAGAAGAGTGATAAAAGAGAGATGGCAGAACGGGCGCTGGCGCCTACCGCTTAGACGGATGCGCTCAACAAATGCGATTTGTTTCTCCCATTCGCAGAGTTGCCGATACCAATATGTCATATTTCTAAGAAATCTAAGTCTACCCAAATGTCGGGAAAAATAGCTGCGGATTCCACATAAGAGTATTCCAAAAATGAAAAAAGTTCAAACTATTAAAATTGTATTAATGTTTCATGGTTCAAATCATATTTTTCATGTTTGTATATTGTTGTATAAATGATTTTGTAATCCCTATTCTTGTTGCCAGTAGAGATACAACAGTATTGAGAGAAATCATGGACCGCTAGATAGGGCTACAACAACCATATGACTATCAAATAGTAGTGATAAACAGGGTTTGTTTATAGCACAGTTGCCTGGTGTGGCGAATTTGCGCCATAGGGGCGATTTGACAACTTTGAAGGACAACTATAACGGTTACTATGGTGCCCGGTATTCGAGAATCTGGCAATACCTGATGATTCCTAACGTTTATTACGCCAGATTGTTTGCTGACTTGCGCAGTACAACATGACAATCAACGTGACTGAGCACCTGGTAACTCTGGTTTAAGGTGTTATATTTAAAAAGCTTGGGGCAGTTAGGTATCTAGGTCACATTTTTTAATGTATTTCGAGAAATCCGTAATGTTGAGTAAATACTAGATCACGTTTCTTGCTTAGTTTGCTGAAAATTCTACAATAGACGTACATTTTGAGAAACAGAGATTTGGTGACGACAAAATCGTAAAAATATAACGCATTTTCGTAAAATAATTTCTTTGTTGAAAAGACTGTGGCTTGATGACCCATTGAACGAGTATAGTGTCCCGCTCCGCTTTGAATATTCGAAACACTATACTCCAGCAGCATTCAGCTTCAATGTTATCTTTATGAAGTTCTAACGTCTAGGCCATGCTGATTAAAAGCTTGAATGAATCAACACTTAACTCTAAATTCCCCACAATTCGGGAAGCTCTACTCAAATTGGCAACACAGCGTATCTGCCTATTATTCTCATTCGTGATACAGGTCTGCGGTTAACGGTAGGAAATATGTACGAATAGCGATGAAAGTAGACGAGCCGATGCGCTGTTGCCAAGAAATGATTTCCCATGTATAACAATGGTTTTTCCTAAGGTGTATATCTTCAGAAGCCGACATGTGTCTCGCTATTGCAATATACATTGTCAAATGCTCCAGGTGATCAAATATAGATAAATATGCTATATTTTCTGAACAATACAATAACTGTTAATCTAACGAGATCACTTACCACTAGTAGTTTGTAAGCGAACTGGACTTCCAAGCCTTACGCCAACGTTTTGGCCAAGAGCAGACAACAACGCCTGTTGAGTGGACGCTGATTGTACTTTGGTGCCGCTAAGTGCTCCTGCTAAGCTTGAAACGGTCTGAGGTCGTAAAGCAGAGCTTAGCGCCTGGGAAGTGGCCGCTACAACCTGCAAAATATAATAAAACACGTGCAAATTATGTATGAAAACATGCCCTGCAATGCTGATAACATGAAATAACTAAAATATATGTGTATTGTTTCCAACATACAGACTCTTTGATTAATGTTTTTCGAAAAAACGCTTACTATAATGAATATATCTCATATGAGGTCGGAACTGACATCGCGCTGTTTGAGCCACTTGAGAAAACGTAACAAGCACACAAACCTCATAAACATAATAATGACTCCTCCAAAATGAGAAATAGCGCGGGATTTGAAAACGAAAGTAAATATTTCTATTATAGTACAAATTACATTTTTGGTATCGCAGGAAAGGAATATACTACAATATTAATGTCGAGTAAGTGATAGAAAACTTACCTGTATTGTCTGCTTGGTTCCCTGTACCGTGTTGACAGGTATGACCCTAGGAGGTCCTTTCGCCAATACGACGGGGCCTTGCTGAACGTTCAAAGGTGACCTCATTACCTGTTGAAACTGCTGAACTGTCATCGGTTGACCGATAGGTTTCGAACCGACTATAAGTTGCGCTGCCTGGGCTTGCATCGCTGATTTGCCACCTTGCATCTAAAGAAAAAAGGTAGTGTCATTTGATTTGACTCTGTACTCGTCATGCATTGCTAAGAATCCTTCGCCAATACATAAAAGATTAATTATCGGTATATAACTGACACTATCTACACTTAATTAGAGGTAACTCGTGAGCTGTAGCCTTCACTGCACAGAATACAGAAATAATACGTTGGAAGCGCTACTACATTAGATAAAAATGCATATAGTTTCTTCTATCTATTCTGCTCTTTGACGTCGAACGGGTAACATCAGCGTAACATAGTCGTTCTTATATTTTTTATCTTAAAAACTACAACACAGTCTTTTTCAAGACTACCAGTAGATCTGGCAGGCAAAATGTAAGTTTCTATAAATTATCAGATGAAACTTTGCATTAAAAATTATTTTAAAAAAATAGGGAAGGAAATAACAAGTTGTTCATAGCGAAGGACGACAAATTATATTCAATGTGTTTGAATATATGAAGCGACAAAAGGACCAGGAGAATTAACCATACCTCTTATGCGTTTATTTGAGAGAGTAGCTGAAGCTACAGGTGTATCCATAAAGACTGTGAAGCGTGTTGTTAAAGAAAATCACTCCAAATCACCGAATATAAAATTTACTTCTCCTCGAAAAACCATAAACAAATCTAGCCCAAAGTCGTCAGTGTATCAATTTGATTAAGGCCCGTATCGTCAGTCGTCCCTACAATTGTAGGGCATGTTTATGGCCTCCTTGATTGTCATACTCCTTTCTCTCCTTCAAAAATTTCTAGATTACACTTGACCCGTGTCAGCGTCAGCGCTCTCCTATTGTGAAGATATGTTTTCTTTTTAAATTGTAGGAAATTTCAGGCTGATAAAACATCTATTTGCAACAAATTGTGCTTGCTTTTGAGTTATATCATGTTTTATCAGCCTGAAATTTCCTACAATTTAAAAAGAAAACATATCTTCACAATAGGAGAGCGCTGACGCTGACACGGGACAAGTGTAATCTAGAAATTTTTGAAGGAGAGAAAGAAGTATGACAATCAAGGAGGCCATAAACGCGCCCTACAATTGTAGGGACGACTGACGATACGGGCCTAAGAAATTATTAGAAATGTTATATACTAGTTCGTGCATATCCATAAAATGAGACCTACAATGAAGGCGGGGTACGATGATGTTATCAACGATGGTGTAACTCTCAATGGAAAGCTCACGTCATTCACGAAAATAGGGCTTCCGTTGGAAAAGAACATAATATAACAGGAAGGTACTGATTGAAAAGCCGGAGATCAGAGTGAAACGGCTACAGAATACTTCAGAAGACTGGAAGAGTAAACAGATCTATAATGGAGATCTATAGGTGTGTAGATATATTTCAAACGACTTAAGAATATAAAATTTATTATAAGAGAATTTGTTTTTATCTTTTGACCATAGAAAAACTTATGCAGGCAGAAATATTGTTTACAATGACGAAACATACATACATACATAGCTCACACAGAGTACCGAAAGCATGGGATGATGGAACAGATAATTGCTTAAATGCACCACTTGTAGAATGCAAACGTTTAATCATTGTATATTGTGAGGGTAGAAATGGTTTTGTTCCCAATGCAGACCTGATATTTAAATCAGGTTTAAAAATAGGCCATTATCATGAATCATGAAAATTATAAGAAATGGATACAAGAAAAATCAATACCAAATTTAGCACCAAGTTCTGTATTAATAATTGACAATGCATCCTACCATAATGTTCCGATAGACCGTAATCCAACGTCTGCTTGGAAGAAAGCAGATATGCAGAAGTGGCTCACTGAAAGAATATCCCTTTTGATAGTAATATCACAAAACCTGAACTTTATCGTATAATACAAATACATAAACCAATGAACACAATTTATGCAGTAGATATATTAGATAAAAAAGGGTCATGATGTTCTGCACCTGCCTCCCTACCATCCAGAACTAAGCCCTATAGAGAAAATCTGGGGCATTGTCAAAAATGAGGTTGCTGCCTGTAAGACCACCTTTAAAATGGATGATGTTTCTACATTGGCGAAACAAGCATTAGCCGCGTCACTCCAGAAACATGGAGAAACAATTGCGACCATGTATCAAGAGTGGAGGAACAATACCTAAGTCGGGAATATACAGGGTTTGTCCGGAAAGTAATAGGACTGAGTCGATTTAAAAAAAAATTATTGAGCCAATCGTTACAATTCTTTAAAATTTCAAAATAGGCTCCTTCTGCGTCGATGCAGCGCTGCCAGCGCGATTTCCAAGCATTAAAGGCGTCACGGAAGTCATTCTCCGGAATAGCCTTGAGAGCCGCGGTGCATGCTGCTTGGATCCCCTCTGTCGTCTCAAAATGCTTGCCTTTCATCGGCCTTTTCAGGCGAGGGACCAAAAAAAGTCCATCTGGGCTGTAGGGCGGCTGCGGAAGCGTTGGGATGCCGGCCTTGGTCAGGTAGTTGTTCACAAGAAAGGCGGTGTGAGCCGAGGCGTTGTCGTGGTGCAACTTGCGATGTCTTGTCGGACTCGACTGATCCTTCGTTTAAGTCTCCTGAGCACTTCCACGTAAAACTTGGCGTTGACAGTTTGTCCAGGAGGAACAAATTCATGGTGGACGATGCCTTTGATGTCAAAAAAGACAATGAGTATCGTTTTTACTTTGGATTTGCTCATTCTTACCTTTTTTGGGCGAGGAGACGCCGTCGTGTGCCACTCGGAAGATTGCCTCTTTGTCTCGGGATCATACTCAAAGATCCACGACTCGTCACCTGTGATTACGTTATTCAATAATTGGGGGTCACTTTCACACATGTTCAAATTTTCCTGGCACACTTCCACTCTCCGCAATTTCTGGTCGTCAGTGAGCACATCTTCGCGCACACCTTGCGCGTGTTCAAATGCTGTGTCACAATGTCATGAACCACAGATTTTGGTAAATTTAACATCTGGGCAATTAAACGAATACTTAGTCGACGGTCTGAGTTCAAAACTTTGCGCACACGAGTCACATTATCGGTGTTTGTCGAATTCGAAGGTCTTCCAGCACGGTCTTCATCAGCGACCTCTTCCCGGCCCTCCAAAAAGGCCTGGTGCCACCTAAACACACCACTTCTTGCTAAAGCAACACCTGGGTAAGCCTGCTTGATCATATCAAACGTCTCTGTCGCAGATTTACCGAGTTTCACACAGAATTTAATCGCGTAGCTCTGCTCTAACGAACGCTGCATTTTCGGCTTGCACCACTCACAGAAACACGTCGCGGGAAAATGCCTGTCCTGACCCTCCAAGTGCTCGGAGACAACTGACCAGCCGCTCATTCGTTAGCTAGGAACGCCCTCTACCGAATCCAGTCGGTGCGCGCACGCTCTGAAGTACAGTCATGGCGGAAGAAAATGAGTCCTATTACTTTCCGGACAAACCCTGTATAATGGATAACGTCCAGGAATAAATTATATTTCAGGTCCAGTCCTCAATATTACATAATTGTGTAGTATGTGTCTCTTCCACTTTTAGCACAAGGTTCAAATTAATTTAAAGAATCCGGCCCTGTGCCGGCCGTCCTCAGTCGCTCACATCGGTACGTATTCACCTCATTTGTGTTATCTTGTGCTTCGCGCGAAGGTTCGTTCATTTTGTTATCATTATCACTACCCAAAACCGGTGAGTTATCTTTTATTTTTGTTTACTTGCATACCCTTAAGAGATTTTGGCCTGATTTTTACAATCAAGGACCATGTACAATATAATATTAACCTAATTTTCCAGCATTTGCTCTCATTTAGATAATAATATGGGCAAAAAATATCACAAACGCAAGAAGAAAGCATCTTCGAGCGATTCTGAGAGCGAATCAAAAGACAGTGCCGCTCTAATCCTCAATTACAAAAACTTGATTCAAAAATCAGTCACCCAAGATCTCGATCTTCATTACATCATCGTAAACAACGCCATAGCCGCACTCTATCTCGATCGTCGTGCAGACGGCCGAGTCGTAGTCGGGCACCTTCGGTTGTGGTTCCTTCTGACAGGAAATAGACACCTAAGCGCCGGCGATTGGATATCACAGCTGATCGTACTGGTGGCGATGTTAGCCGCGAGGATGACGAGCGGGAAGAGCCGACGGTGTTGCCACGTGCCACGTGTAGTGCCACATCCTCGCAAGTTCCCAGAGTGTTTTGATAACGTGTGCACCGTTGTTTTAGAAAATTCTAAAGACTTATGTCGGGTTCATGCACGACTTAATGTAACCGAATTTAAGGATCAGCTGTTTCTACATCAGTGTCCTCCACATGTTACGCCGCCAGAGGGTAACTAGCTAGTGATTTTCAGTGGTGGTCAAACGTTTTGGTGACGTCACACCCATTTTTTTGACATGATTCGGGTGGTTTCGGAACTCGTCTTACCCTTGGATAGCCCTTTCCTCGTATTGACGTAATTATAATAATTCTGTGGTGTCTCGTGTTCCAGGACGATTTACTGAGAAAGCCAGGCGGTGACTCATCTGTTGTTTTTGTTTGAGTTGTTGACGAATTTGCGGTAGAGATTTGTTTTGGTGTTCGTCTTCGGGTGTGTTTTTCTGCCCTGGACTTGTTTTTTGTGCGTTTAATTGAGGATGGCCATGCTTAGAGCAAAAAAAAAACGAAAAGCCGCGCTGGTATCAACTCCTGACCTTGTTGAAGAGGTACCTGCAGAAGTCACCTGAACGCAATCGGACATCGCCAGAGGAGCGCCTAATGATAACGTTGCAGTTAGTATCCAAATCAGTTCATTTTTGCATAAATGACTAAATATATTGAGGTTATGGTCGTTTTCTTAATTCAAGGTCACTTCTTAAAATAAAGTTCAATATATTGAACTTTTTCTCAAGAACCAACCAATCGGATCACTAGCGTTGGTCAGCTGATCGCTAAAGCTGGAATTAGAAGATTGGTACGAGCCATCGATCCTGTACAAAACTCGATAGTCGATATTTATATCGTGATGTTTGATCGATTTTATATCGCTGTATGGGCAGATGGTTCGGTGATAGTTGTATGAAAAATTATTTGCGCTTGCTTACGCATGACAGTTTAGAGCTGAACATCGGGGCGGATTGATAAAAAAATCAGAGATGTTAAAAATTATAATAAATAAAGTCAGTGTGCATGTTTACTTCATCCCCTAACAAAGTGCGAATAGTGGTAGTTTCAGCAAAACATATCAGTATTGCTACAGCATAAAGTAGATCAAAAAACAGCATGAAAAAAATAAACATGGGTCCTAAATTGCCCCTTACCAAGATAGAGGATTTTGAAATTATATTCTAGAGAACGAAAAGAAAAAATGGAAATGATCTTAAAATTTTGTGCTTGTAGTACTGACTTCATAGCTGATAGATGCAAACACTTTCATGTCTGAGACTGTACCAGTGGTGATGTTGGCAAATTATAGCCCCTACAGAAGAAAAAAGAGAATTTAAATCTATACCATGCCCCCATGACATGTTTTTCCAAAACCTCACAGAACACTGTGAAGGTACTTTGTGATTAACTACGAACCAGGTGTACACCTGGCGAATGCTGTGTATTCGTAGCCCACCAAATATGTAATCTCTTTTGAAGTTTATTGAGGTAAACAGATGAGTAGCACGTCACTTTGTTTTGTGACATCTGTACTGTTGGTAATAACAAATCTGGTAAAGGGCCAAATTAAGGACTGGTGTTTGGTATCACCAATGAAAATTTGTTTACACACAGAATTTTGGCAATCAAATGTATACTGCTAGATTGGGAATTTATACATATGTACAGAGCAGTATCATTTGAAGGGGCGTGGTGAGATGACTATGTTTCTGTTTAGTGTTTGCTGACCAAATATGACAGTGATATTATGCTAAAAATTTTTTTTGTGTTTCACAGTGTCAATATCCTTCGAGGAGGAGGAGTTGGAGTGAAGATCGTCATTTATTTTATGGATACCAAATTAATTGTCAATGACATAAGGAGTTTGTGTCCTAGTTTGAAGAAACAATTAGTGTTTTATGTGTTTTTTTTTTGTTGAGGACAATTTTGTTTGCAAAACTATTTTTGATTCACATATCAGAGTGATTATATTTGTATTCCAGTCAGTCTTCTAACTACAGATGTATTTTTTGTTATTTTAGTATTTGTTTTCGCAATAAATATACATGATCAATTAACAAGAGATAGTGCTTGCATGATATTGGACTGATCAGGTTCATAATATAGAGAAAAATCCAGATGAGTAGAATACTTCTATGTATGTACAATTTATTGTAATGAAGAATTTTTTCTATTATTGCTGGGACTGTTCAATAAATATTTTTTTAATTATACATTTTTTTATTATCCTGAAATTCATTACTAGCCAAACTAATGAAAGAAATACTTCCTTTATTGAGGATGTGTTATGCATCTATGATCATCGAACTGCCTCAATATCGGGACGGTCATCAGTCAGATTTCGTAATGTAAACAAATGAAATCGCCGACACATTCCTGACATTCCTGATATGCGTTGTCGGCATACTTTCAATATTTTTAGTTCCACCAGATTTCCAGCCAAGAAAGGTAGCGCTGCCGTCGTTATAGTCCAAGAAATATCTTGACATCTGCTCAGGAAAATATTCGGATTTGGACTTTTTGCATGTTATTCGAAAAAGCCTCCTAGTAACAAATCTACATATCCAAATTGCGTCTCTAATTGTTTGTACAACTTTTTCAAATAAATTCCAAAAATTAATGTTTTCGCTTCATCAAAGGTAGTATTCGTTTTTTTTTTTGATACTCCGAAACAAAACGATGTTTGACAATGTTTGTTAAAAGCTGAGTTTGTACGAGATAGGAAAGTCCAAAAAATTGATTTTGCGATACCGAAAAACGATCTGAAAAAACGAAAATGTTAATGTCGCCATGCTTCATAAATAACCATTAACACAATTGCGATACCTTTTAGGAGATACTGTTATTAAAAAATATTTGTATTTAATTGATATGCAAGCGGACGCTCAATGCATATTCAGCGTGCACGAGAGATATTTCATCTCTCTCTCTCGCGTTCACATAGACATAGACTATACATTGAGCGCGCATTCAATTCATAATTACTATGCAAATATTTACAATAACTGTACTCCCTAAAATGCTCTGGGGGTTTTGTTATTGGTTGGTTGAAGCATGTGTGAGATTTGGCAACATCAAAATATTCATTTTTCATATGTTTTTATTGTAGCAAATGACATATTTTGAGTTTTTACCTTGCTTATACCTGTATATATCAAGTATAGAGAAAAGTTCTAAAGCTCATTTTTTATTCAGAATGTCCTAAAAACCGCAAAATACTATAAACAAAGCGAACAAATCAATTTTTGGAATCAGTTTAATAACAATTTTTGGAGCAATTTTGGGCCTAGTCATATGCAGATTCTTTAACAGAGGTCCTTGAATCGGAATCGGAAGATTTTTCCGAGCAGATGTTTCGATATTATCTGGACTATTATCAGAGTTCTGTGACTTGATTACCAGTGCATTGGCGCAAGCGAGTGGGGAGGGGCCACTTGTCAATGTCAAGGCTGGTCCGCCAGTCCACGTGACACATAAGCCACAAAACACTCTTTCATCTGCTACCTTGACGTTAAACATATGATTTTGTTAGTGTGTTTAATGTTGATATTGTCGCCATTGCAACATTGGCAATCCTGGACGCGCATGCGCTTTAAATGCTCATTTTCTTAAGTTACGTTGAGTCTTGCATGAACCCGCCTTTAGATGAACTTGTAGTTCATAATGATGTCTTATTGCCTGATGACGTTTTACAAATTCTAGGAGTCGATCCGAATAAAGGTCAGGACGACCTTATCACTTTACATGATCAGATTGTATCCAGATGGCGCATTATTCTTGCTAAGGGTCTAAAGAAATCTGAAAGCTTAACATTATTGGGCGAATATAATCTCCCAAAAAAAAATGTATCTACTTTAACTCCACCGAAATTAAATCCGGAGGTTAGAGCCGCGTTGCCAAAACAAAATATTACAACAGTTTTTTCCTACATTGAAGTACAAAACCAATTAGGAAGAATTTTTGTTCGGTGGCAACTCAAGTGATAAGTCTAACACCATAAAAACTCTTGAATGTGTTAGCAAAGAGTTAAAATTGCCACTCACATCAAAGCAACCCTCTTACAGAGGGCAAAACAGAGGGAGCCAGTTAAAACCAACATCCGCCTCTCGGAATTTAAACTTATTACCCGACCGGTCGCCTGGGGGAGACAGCTCCTTACAAGGGTCACACCTCCATGAAACGTACACGAAAAGCCTGAGGAACCGGCAGAAGGATAAGAAACCAGGTAAAAAACGAACCACTGTGCAGGTCGTTTAAAATATTTTATCGAACAATGGGGGTTTCCATCACGGATAATCCTACTATTTTAAATTGGTTAAAGGGTTATAAGATACCTTGGGTCAAGAGCGCACCTTTAAATGGTGGCCATCTTATTACTATAAAAATATTTAATTCATCTGAACACCATTTAATCTTGAAAGAAGTGAACTCTTTAATAGAACTAGGTGCTGTAAGGCTATGTCAACCTCGCAGTGACCAATTGTTGTCTAATTTTTTCCTTATAGACACATCAAGTGGTGGGAAAACATTTGTTCTGAATCTTAAAAGACTAAATGAATATGTGATTGCACCACATTTTAAAATGAAAGATGCCCGAACCGCTACCAAACTAATTCAACGTGGCAACTAAGCATCGACTATTGACCTTGAAGATGCTTATTATTTAATACCGATTCATACGGACTATGACATTCTTTGAATTTACTTGTTTACCGTGCGGGCTATCGTCAGCACCTCTTAAATATTACGAGCCAGGGGCGTACCCTGTGTTAATTATCTCGATGACTTTTTGATTCTGAGGAACTCTGAAGGGGAATGTAAGAAACATGTGGTATTTACTACATCCCTTTTATCTTCTCTAGGTCTTATCGTCAAAAAAAAGCTCCGAGCACGAGGTGCAAGTTTCTAGGCCTTATATTTGATACAAATACCATGACTTTGGAATTACCCTCGGACAAAAGACAAAAAATTTCACAATTGGCTAATAATCTTATTAGACAAAGAAGATTTAGAATACTTAAGTTTGTCCATCTTACTGGTCATCTGACATCAGCCCGTCCGGCGGTAAAATATGAATGGCTCTATACAAAATTGTGAAAGGGCAAACAATTTTTTAGCTTTGAAAAATAACGACGAAAATTATACTAAGTGACATATAAATCCGAACACCCAGTTTAAATGGTTTTATTTTAATAAAAGTTGGTGAATGTATTTATCTTACTGTAAATAACAAGTGAAAAAATTTTCAGCCTTATCAGTTGGACATTCCGGTTTTTATACTGCTTTTTTTAATTCACTAACGCTCTAGAAATGAATATTTCAGCCGCAGTAAAGAATCAACGTTGGCGGATTTTGGTTCTTGACATCCTTTAAGATCGGTTACGATGCCTAGAGTACGGAGACCTGTACGATTTCGTCAACTTAGTGAGTTTGATAGGGGCCGTATAGTGGGACTTCGGGAAGCTGGACTTTCTTTTCGGGCAATTGCAGTTAGAATGCAAAGAAGTGTAGACACTGTGGTTAGGTGTTGTCGGGCCTGGCTTCGAGAAGGCCGTACGCAAAGAGCAAGGGGCACTGGACGCCGCCGTAGAACAACAGACCGTGAAGATCGCCGCCTAAGATTATTGGCCTTAAGGGACCGTTTCTCCACTACCAGGTCCATTGCAAATGAATGGTTTGCAGAACACGGAAGACCTATTGGCATGCGAAGTGTTTACCGACGAATGAGAAGTTTTGGCTTGTTTTCATACCGGCCACACTGGGTCCTCCCTTTAACTCGAGAACACCGACGTAATCGCCTTGAGTGGTGCAGACAACGGTCACTCTGGGATCAGGAATGGAACAGTATTGTCTTTAGTGACGAGTCTCGATTTTGTTTAGGCATGCCGATGGTCGTGCCAGGGTTAGAAGGCGACGTGGTGAAAGGAGGAATCCATAGTTTTTTGTTGAAAGACATGTTCATCACACTGTTGGAGTTATGGTTTGGGGTGCTATAGCTTATGGTTCCAGGTCACCTTTAATCTTCATCAGAGGTAACATGAACGCGCAGCGTTATATCCACGAAGTTCTAGAACCCCATCTTTTACCCTATCTTGACACCTTGGCAGATCCAACTTTCCAACACGATAGTGCCCGACCGCATGTTGCAAGAGTCACAATAGACTTCTTTCAACATAATGATGTCACATTGTTACCATGGCCACCAAGATCTCCCGACTTATCCCCAATTGAGCACGTGTGGGATATGATGGGTAGGAGATTGCTCAATTTGCAACGTCCTCCTCAGACTCTAGAAGCACTTCGAGAGGAGTTGGTGGTTGCCTGGAATGAGATACCACAGGAGGACATTGACCACCTGATCAGAAGCATGCCTAGGCGCGTTGGAGAATGCGTAGCACATCAGGGTGCATCCACACATTATTAAAGGTCAAAGGGCTTTAAAGCAGTGCAATCATTTTGAAATTTTTATCATTTACTTATTATGCTTCATTAAGTACTTATACAATTTATTTACTTATATTATTTATTAAAATAAAACCATTTAAACTGGGTGTTCGGATTTATATGTCACTTAGTATACAATGGTTATATGACAATAACCTCACCAATTTTGTCGGATTTAAATTGGTGGTTAATTAAAATTGATACCACAAAAACGACTTGACGAGGGACAAATATGAACTAGAAATTTGCACTGATGCTAGCTTATCTGCCTGGGTGCCTGATGCTAGCTTATCTGGCTGGGTGCCTTTTGCCAAGGTGAAAGTTCGCATGGATGGTGGACATCCCAAGATAAGGAGAATCACATAAATTTCTTGGAATCACAGGCAATATTTTTTGGTCTAAAATGCTTTCCAAAAACACTAGTGATTGTAGCATCTTAATCAGAACTGATAACGCGACGGCCTTGGCTTGTATTAATAAAATGGGTAGTGTGCAACACCAAAATGTAAATGCTCTTACCAAAAAAATCTGGCAATGGTGTGAAAATAGAAATATTTGGATTTTGACATCCTATATTCCTTCCAAAGAAAACTGGCAAGCGGATAATGCTTCTCGAATATTGCGTACCGAAACCGAATGGTCTCTCAACCGTGATGTTTTTGCTATCTTATCTGACAAGTTAGGTAAACCGGATATTGATATAATTGCTCCTTTTTAGAACAATAAATGTAGCAGATATATTTCATAGATAAAAGAGCCAGGATCAGAATCAATTGGCGCTTTTACCTTTTGGCGAAACTTAAACCTTTATGCTTTCCCGCCATTTTCAATGATACTTAGGGTCCTAAGAAAAATCATTACTGACGAGGCGGAAGGCGTATTAGTGGTCCCATTATGGCGCACTCAACCGTGGTACCCACGGTTCGATAATTTGATATGAAAGCAACCATTATTTTTTGGACCCAGTGATGAGTTGCTTTTTTGTCCTTTCAGCCAAATGAAGCATCCGCTATCAAAAAATCTTACCCTGGTAGCAGCGAGATTATCAGGAAAGCCTTTAGAAAGAAGGGAATCCCCATCGACGCCCTAGATACAATGTTCAGGTCATTAAGTGATTATACCATAAAACAATATAGCTCAACATATAAATTATGGTGAGATTAGTGTCAAACGAACGATATTTCACCATTCGATTGTAAAATTGTTGACATCATTTCACTCTTTCAGAAAATTTTGCATTCCACCAACAACAGTTTGGCTCCTTTAATTCTCATCGGGCGGCCCTGTCATTACGAGGAAAAGAAGGCGCGAGGTCGTGGTCGAGAGTGAACGTGTATATTTCGTCTCTGTTCGCTTCATGTTCCTGTAGAAAAACTAGCGGAATATTTTAGGTGCTGATTATACCAGCCCTGTCTGCAGTGCTGCAGGTAAAATCTCTGTTTGTTTAAAGTAATTTCGTATTACGTAGCCTCAGTAATGCTGCACGTTTGAGATGGTGAATTGCATTTATTGTAACACTACTGTGTCTCGTACAAAACCTGCTGTTTTTTGCGGGGCATGTAAGAAAAATGCTCATGCCAGCTGTATTACCAATTCCATTGATATACTGAGTGTCTTAAAAAATGTCCCTGGTCTATCATGGAAATGTGATGAATGTAGAGGCAACTGCCTGTTTATTAACGAAAAGAGCAGTGCTATCGAAAAAAATTGATGCAACTTGGGCAGATCAAAAATGAAATTCTTGCCATAAAGGATGAGCTGCTGAACCATGCTGTCAAGGAGACTAACCCTCCAGCTGATCCTCCTCGTTATTCTGATGTACTGCGCAACAGAACTAAACCAGCCATTGTTATTCGTCCGAAAAATACTAATCAGTCAATAACACAAGCCAAGACGGACATTCCAAAATCAGTTGCCGCTGTTGAAGCCAACATTCATCTGGGTAAAGTTCGTGATATCAAGGAAGGTGGGCTAGTGCTTGGTTGTAAGAGCAAGGCGGATAACTTAAAACTGCTTTCCATTGCAAAAGAGAACTTAGGTGATTCATAGGACATTAAAGAAGTTTTTATTGGTGATGTTGAGTGTGAAGTTTTGAAATCATATGCTGTTGAAAAAAATAATAAAATCTTCTAATCTGTCTTACAAATAGATAGAGTTTCCTATGTTAAGGTCATGAAGGCAGGGTACTTATTAGTTGGTTATGACTGCGGTAAGGTTTTTGATGCCGTTGCTTTAAATGCAATGAGTTCCATCACTGCTCAGCTTCTTGTCAGTATGAGGCTTCTTGTCCAATCTGCAGTGGAAAACATGAGATTAAACAGTGTCCATCAACAACTAAGCAGTGTTCTAATTGTGTCAAATTAAATTCTGTCGAATCTGAATGTTCCAATAAATCATGCAGCTTGGGACAAAAATCAGTGCACTGCCTTCACGAATGCTACAGAAAAACTGAGAAAAGACTTACTCGCTGTCAAATAGCAGCTAGCTACTGCTTCAAGCTTAGACAGTTATGATCATAATGCTGGTAGAGATAAATACTTTATTATTTATTATCAAAACACTCGTGGTTTGCGTTCTAAAACTAATGAAATATTCAACTCTATTTCTCAACAAAACTATTACTCTTTGATAACACTGACAGAAACGTGGCTTGATACTGATATCAATGATTGCGAAGTTTTTCCGGATAATTATTCAGTTTACAGATCTGATCGTAAGTTTTCAGCAGAGAATTTGAGGAAAGGTGGAGGAATGGCTGTTGCTGTTAGGAGTGAATATAAGTCATCTGCCATCGATATATATGTATATATGTATATATATATATATATATATGTATGTACCCAGCTTTTAACCAGGTCAGTCCACAGATCGATATTTTAGTAATTAAAGTCAGTGTCCATTACTTCAAAATATATGTGATTAATCCGTACATACCTCCTCAGGTAACCGTTACCGACTACGAAATCTTGTTGGAAGCAATACATAGTCTAGAGTTTATACGTACTGGCAGTATTTTCATTGTTGGGGACCTTAATATAACATCATATGCTGATTATCTTGAAAATAGTATCTCAAATAGTTACATAAACACTTTAAATGTTTTAGCAAGACTTTTCAATGTCATCCAGTATAATTACACACACAATGAAAATGGAAATTTGCTAGATTTAATTTGGAGCAATGCCATTTGCTATGTTGAACATGCTGATGATTGATGATGCGTTAGTGTGTGAGGATCCCCATCATCCTGCATTGATTGTCACTGTGAGACATTTTCCTTCCACTAAACATAATAGCGTGTTGCATAGCGACTTCAAAGGTTCATATAATTTTAGGAAAGCTTACTTTCAGCTGCTCTATGAAATGATTGTGAATATTAGCTGGGGCGATTTGATAAATTTTAGTGACGTGGATTTAGCTTGTGAATATTTCTATTCTGAGATCTATAGAATTCTTGATTGTTGTGTTCCTAAAGTTAGAATATCTTATAATAATAGGTATCTTCCTTGGTACAACAGCCATATCATTAGAACCCTCAAACAAAAAATGGTGGCATTCAAGACTTTCAGACGCACTGATGATACTTATTATATAGAAAAATTTGTAAGACTTCGCTCAGAGATAAAGCAACATGTAGCTGTTTCGCTCGCTTCATTCACTCTTTAGAGAGTGAAATATCCAACAGCTCCGGCAAATTCTGGTCTTTTGTTAATGGAAAAAGAAACTGCTCTAGTATTCCGAAGGATATGCTGTTCAATGGACGGGGGTTGATTACACCTAATGATGTAGTTGGCGCATTTGCGGAACACTTTAGTGGGAGCTATAATACTCCAACAGCTCAATCAGATTCTTCTACTGACTACCATTTCACTACTACACTAGCTATGCCTAGCGTGCAGGAAATCAATGTGCTACAGGCGCTCAAGAAAATTAAGCCAAAAATGACTGCAGTCTCTCTGTGAAAAATAATCACTTTCCATCTATTTGGAAGTTGTCTAGGGTAACACCTGTTTTTAAAAAAGGTGAGAGGGATAAAGTAGAAAACTATCGGGCTATCACAATTATCAGTAATTTCGCTAAAACATTCATAATAGTGATACAAACTGTGCTATATTTCCATGTAAGCAGGTCTATCTCCATCAGTCAACACGGTTTCATGAGGGGCAGGTCCACAGTTACTAATTTGCTACATCCTACGCAATAAGTTATCTAGATTTGGTCTTTCAGATGCATTGTTGCTATTTTTCAGATCTTATTTATTTCATAGGAAACAGTATGTTATGTGCAATGGACATAAGTCAAGCGAATACCCTGTAATGTTCTGTGTTCCTCAAGGATCTAATTTGGGACCTCTGTTATTTATTATGTTCTTAAATGATATTTCTGAAGTTATAGATGTCGATTTTCTTATATATGCTGACGATATGAAACTTTTCTGTAGAGTCTCTAACATTGACGACTATCATCGCTTGCAATGCAACATTGTAAGGGTTGACAACTGGTGTCGTGAAAACAGACTGGTTTTGAATGCTGCTAAGTGACACGTTTACTTTAAAAACAGAGGTAATGATGTATAAATATAGTATTGGTGACAGAAAACTTGACAGACCTAATACAATTAATGACTTGGAAGTCACATTTGACAGAAACCTTTCCTTCTCCTATCACATCGAAAATGCTGCTGTGGCTGTATCAAAGGCGTATGGTTTTATTGTAAGAAATACTGGTGATTTCCGCAACTCCTTTACACTGAAAATACTGTACTGTGCTTATATAAGATCTAACCTTGAGTATGCGTCCCTGGTATGGTATCCTCATCATCAAATATATATTGAACGCTTAGAGTCCGTTCAAAGAAAATTTTTAAAATACCTCTCATACAAAGCTGACGGGATATATCCTGCTATTGGCTTTCCTCATAGTGAGTTGATAATGACACACAAAATCTATAATTTAGAGAGCAGACTCAAAAAGAATTCACTTAAGTTCACTCACAAGCTCATCCATGGCATTATTGACTCCAGTATTATCTTAGAACAACTTAACTTCTTAGTTCCTAGATTAGCGTCTCGAACTAGTTTAACTTTTTACTTAGCCAGGCCTAGGACTGACATACTTAAGTTTTCCCCTATCTATATAATGTGCCGCAATTATAATTCAGTTAATAGCGTTTTAGATATATTTTTGTTTTCTGCGACTTTGGGAGACATTAACGCTCATTTTCGTTAATGCTTGCCGGTGTGATTGTTGAGTGCTGAGTAGGTAAATCTACAACGCTTTTTTTCCTCGCAGTTCTGTTTTGAGGTTTTTTTGCACCGTTTTAGCTTTCTCTACATACATCCACTACATGCATTTGTTTATATTTTCATGTTTATCCATCCAGTAATTGGCTATGGCTGTTGGATGCAGCTAAATAAATAAAATAAAAAAATAAATAAATAAAATTAATTATTCAAGAGAACTTAGGAGATAATCCGCAAAACAAACGATTTATTAGAGGTGTGTTTAGGCTTAGACCTCCTAAACCGAAATACGACCATACTTGGGATCCCCAACTATTTAGAATCCTCACAACAGACCAGCTTCAAATTTCTATGCGGTAAACTGGTAGCTCTTTTGGCTCTAGCAACAGGACACAGAATTCAAGTGATTTCCTTTATTAGATGCTCTAACATAAAATTTACTGAAAACATCTCAACGCAACAAGCACCTTGAGAAACCCAACCTAGGATTCCCTCTTCATTACGTACAGTAAACCTCAGGGCGCGGCAACAAAGCAAACTCTGTGCAGATTGATGAAAGATATCCTCAAACAGGCAGGAGTGGATACCACATCAGTATTTCAAGCACACCCAACTCGACATGCATCTACGTCATCAGCCTTACGAAACGGTGTTTCCATCGACACAGTAAGGAAATCAGCAGTTGGAGTACACACTCGGATAGCTTCGCAAAATTTTACAACAGTCTGTTGTCTGAATCTAATAATTTTGCCGAAACAGTGTTATCGGGGAAATAATGATTTTCTTTGATTTTGGCATCAGTATATTAAATGCTCTTATTCTTATACTTGTATTTCAGCTTATAATAATTATCCGTTTTGCTTTATTTGTTTGTTAACATAATGTCCACATCTAATTTGGGAAATGGCATTTTTTGGCAAACATCCACACAATTATGTAATCTTGAGGACTGGACCTTCATATAATAACGATCGAACTTCAGATAAGTTCTTTTGATCGATATATTATAATAGGCCATGACAGCGATGAATCTGACCTACAACTGTCATCAGATAGCAGAAGTGAAGATGACGATTTACTATGCCAACCACTTAGCAGTGGGACTTCTATGTATCTCAGTCTAACTAAAACGAGTGTTCAGGTATCTTGTTTTGTTTATTACGTACAAATATATTTTAGTGGTGTTTCACAAATTGTGTATTAGCCGGCCTTCGTCAGTAATTTGTCATAATGATTAATTCACTTTGTCAACTTTTGAGGATGTCAAAACAAACTGACAAAGAAATCCTTACACTTCTTGTAATCACTAAATAAGCAGAGCAGTTATGTTTGTTTGTTAACTCTCTTTTCTAGATAATATTACAATGCTTACAGAATTAGAAAATTTCCGTAAGCATGACATTACACACAAACATGGTATATGTTAGGATGCAAGCATTCAACTCTGTACGATTAAATAAACCCTATAACTACGCTACTGTACAGACATACACGTTGTAGGCCCGCTGTTGGTGCCCCCGAATGTTTTTAGGCCTGCATCTGAACGAAAGAGATAGGGGAATATCCCTACTCTGTGTCCACCCACGCCCCTCTTGCGCATTGCGCGGCTCACGAGAAAGCGGACTAGCTCTACCTTTTATACGACGAGTTTAGAACACTGAAGCTGGATAATATTTAGCAGAGTTGCTTCGACAATAGGGTATCCTATACTCAAAATTGCATATTTAATGACCTAAAATAGGTTTACACCTCTTTTTCAAGGACAATGCAGTTATCCTTATTTTTATTTGCCCAGTTCAATTGGTGAGGAATCCCCTAATCATTGACCTCTCAAGTAGTAAACACTGGTTAGCTAACAAAGTTCACGGCGGTGTGGATCAGGGTTCAGTTTTACAGCGCTGTAGCAATATTACAGGATCCCAGCTTTTTCAAACAGCTTTTATAAACGTATGACAGAATTGTGAGGAAAGCTCAGAGTAGTGTGTTTGGAAAAAACGTATTTGAAGTACGTACATCAAAGCAGAACATATTTAAATTCTATATATTGACCGCTAAAGAATCATCCCATGAGATTCGACTTTTATTCAGAACAGCGATAGAATAATTATCCTAACATCTGACCGAAGCCTAATATCGGAGGCAGATATAGGGTCATATTCTATGTCTGGAAAAACTTATTATATTACAGCTTTGTTGTGAAATTTTACGGTTGAACTACAGAGGGCAAGGTTTGTCGCTTCTCGCCCATAAAAAAAAGAAAACAATATAAGCTTTTTACATCTATTCAACGAAGTTTTTTCGATAAATAGATCGCTGCTGCCGAAATCTGCTTACCTGTGCGATGCTGATCTTCTGCGCAGCGGTAGCGCCCGGTGTTCCTACGGTGCCTGAACTACCTGCAGCTCCACTGGCAGCGGCTGCCAACTTCTTTTGAGCCAGTAACTGTTGCTGAATTTGCAGTTGACGTAGTTGAGGAGACGTGGCACCTGCACCTTTTAGCGCAGCTGGTGCCAACGACTTGCCCTGTGCGGTTGCTAATGTTACGTTGGTCATAGGAATCGTCACTGTTTGGGTCACTGAAATAAATACCAATACCAAATTTATATTCGACATCTTTTCTAACCGACTTATAGTCAATTAAGTGGCAAGCAAGTCGGCACAGCACTTCAGTGTGAAAATAGAGTGGCTTTCATTATGGGTACACTATAAGACCTCAAAAAAAAAAACTCGATCACTACTCTTATTTTCTCAAACGGAAACATCTTCAAACCAGTTAAATCTTTAGTATTCTTATGCGCTTTTGGAACTAAGAAATCAAGCGATATCATTTGAACATGTATACTCTGAAAATTTTAAAGATTGGAATTTGAGCCATAGACGATAGGACGCGGTTTTACTCCAAGGTGCCAGGCGACAGATGTCGGGTGACAGGTGGTAGGCGACAAGCTACAGGTGAAGGGTGACCATGTGTCATACCTTTTATGGTGTCGGCTGCGAGTTCCTGACGGAAACGAGCAAATCTGGATAGTATCAGAATATCGTTTAGATTTTTATAGAAGAAATGTATTCAGCCTCTAAATAAAGTGCGCAAGCAATATAGAGAGTTTCATCTGTATATGGATCTCAATAACCATCCCGGAAGATTTTCCAATGTATGCAGTTATTATTAGATTATCTTAACAAATGCAAATCAAACTACACCAAAGGAGGCCCTCCAAGATACCAATTAATCCTGCAGATAGTATACAATACGCGTCCAATGTCGCCCGTATCACTCAAATATTGCAGACATAGTTGGAAACACCGCGGCATTTCCCGCCAATGTCAAGTGTAAATGGGTAGATTAAAAACAACGTAAGGCAGTGGTCTCCAATAAACGCCGTAGGCCGCGTATATACGTCGCGTCTGTATGCTTTAGATAAGAAATAATGAATGCGGTCTCCCAAGGGCGGATCCAGAATTTTAGTTCTGGGAGGGGCAAATAAGCTTGTAGTATTATAAAAAGCTTTATTATAGTTTCAAAAATCAAAACAATTGAAAAATTATATGTTTAATACAGACAGTTTTCTTTTATGTTTCCTGCTAAATATGTCCAGCACTTCATTAGCGTCTATTTTTGTCGCAATGTCTTGATGGATCGACTTTAATCGGCGTAAGGTGGAAAAAGATCGCTCGGCAGTGCTAGTAGTCACTGGAAACGTGCACAGCAACTGAGAAAGAGTTCTAATATTTGGCAGTACCGTTGCTCTTTTGTAGGCATCTGTGGAAATTTTGGTATATTTTCTCTCATCTGTTGTCAAATTTCAAGCTCTCCCTTCAAAGCTAACAAACAAGGAAGGTCTTCTTTGTATACTTCAGCGCCTTGTAAAACGTCCTCTATATCTTCGTCGCTGAAGTTAGGGGACAGCAACTTTTGCAACTGTCCGATTATTTGCATGGGAGTGCTACGGAACCTGGATGACATTTCACTCAACATGTAATCTAGAAAAGGAATATATACTGAAAGTCGGTAATATTCTTCAACTGACTGAGTTTGAACGTTCGGCCGATTTGTTTGACGGCCGGTGATTCTGCGGACCGTGATTTCTGAACCAATTTCATTTGCGATGGCCTCAGCCTGACTGAAAAGTTTTTTGAATGTGTCCGTGCTAGTTTCACGTTAGCATAAGCTGAACTGCAGAAAGTATATCAATTTCAGTGGCTTGTAATGATCGGGATAAGGCTAGCGTGATGAAAATATCAGATAGTATTACCAAGCTTATAAGAAATTCTGAGTACATTATTGATTGGAGTAAGAAAAATATAGGTGTAGCACTTCTGTTTCCTCGATCTTGATCAGCCTTTTTTGCAAGATTGCAGGAAGACATGGCAAGACCTCCAAAAATGTCAAAACTGCTTCATGTCTTTCCACCCATCTGGTCTCACCCATTTTTTTTAATATATTTTGTTTTTCCCTTGGCAGATGAGCTTGCATTTCTTCTCTGAGTAGGTGTATTCGTTGAGCTGAGTCATGAAAGAAAGTTGCTACACTTGACATAACCCCTACGGCATTTCTTATGCTGGGTACGGTGCAGGCTGTACTGATAGCTAAGTTGAGCGGTGGCTTGCACAGTGGGTAAAAAGGCTAAAGGTTGAATGCTGGATACGCGAGCCTGAACACCTTTTATTTTACCGCTCATGTTGGCTCCTCCATCATATGCTTGACCCCGGCATAATGTAATGTCCAGATTAAGGTTTTCCAATGCCTTTAAAATATGGTGAGCAATGTTTTCACCAGTAAGCTTAACAACTTCGACAAACATTAGATAGTCTTCTTGTATTTCGTTTGTATCTACATCGAAATAGCGAATACAAATGGCTAGTTGCTCACATATCTGTCCACTATGTTGTTTCTGATTAAGTCCCCACATCATTCAATTAAGTCATTTTGTGTCGACTTGCTAATGTAGGAAGCGTTTTTAGCACACGTTTTTACATGGTCATGCAGTATTTCATCTCCAGCATCGATTCGGAACTTCAACAACGCTTTAAAGTTGGCTTCTCCGTATCCGTAAGGACTTTCCAAATCTAAACTTCCATCATCCCTGTGACCTCTTAACGGTATGTTTTGCTTTCCACATAAAATAATTGTTTTTATAATGGGTATAAGTTTTTTACGATTCTCATCCACAGTTTTCTTTTTCTGGGATCTCATTTGGGTAGCAGCATCCATTGATTTTCCCTCCATAACCATCAAAAAATTTTGAGATGCTACCACGTTCGCTTGGTTGTAATTCGTGCTCTCGCGGTGTGTGATCGTTTCAATGGCCTTTTTATATCTTGTCAGTGGTTCAGTCACCAATTTTCCGAGCTTCACATCATTTGTACCCGCTTCACGTCGACCAAAAAGAATGCACACTTTACACAATCCGCCACCAGCAACTTTACTGTATGCTAACCATTTATGTCCCTTCAACCAACTTATTTGAAAAGACCGCTTCTTTTTTCCCTCACGCACCAGTGGAAACTTAAAGTCTGTTGTAGGTTGCCAAGTATATTTCAACCACTGGTACCTTTCTTCGTATGTAAGAACTAACCCGTCATACTGGTTTAATAGTAGTGTACCTGAAAATAAAAATAAACTAATTAACCTTTTAGATATACAGAAGTCCGATTATTATAGTTTATAAAAAACTGAAATAGCCTAAATAAGACATTCAAAATACATAAATATGATTCGTTGTGTTTCGACGTAGCTAGATAATAAATATTTAGTTAATGGTGGTGAATACACCTCTTTATTCTATAAATATAACATGCTTATGCGACATCTCATCTAACTACAACCAAAACCAAGCATCGACCACGCTCGTGAATTCACTCGCGGCGAGTATTCACTACGTGTGACCATGGCTTAACATAAAAGCAAGGTGTATATGAAGCTGCGGAGAACGTAGAATATGCTGCACATAGAATAGACGTTCGCAATTCGGAGTCACCCGAATGCACATAGCCACTTCGTAGAGCTTCACAAAATATTAAAATACACAAAAATTGCGATACCCACCTATATCTCGTCCCTGCAACATGCAACTAGTAGAGGCTGATGCTGTTGATGGACTTGTTGGCATTGATGTAGTTGCCGCGTGCGTGGATGTACATGGGACACCACCAAATTCAATCCCTTTCCCTGTATCTGCAACTGCATCGTCGGTTTTTTGTTTTTTTGTAAAGAAAAACGCACTTATGGTCTTTTGCATTTTCCTCTCTTTATCACTCATTATATACGGTAATATTACTTGCTACTCGCTAAAACTACACTGAACTAAGTGTGGAACAACGTTATGCCGCTACCTAGCGTACTCTATTATAAACAAATTATAAGCAAACTATAAGTATGTGGAGCAGTGGGTGAACATAGAGAGTGAGAACTGCAAAAAGAGTATATTTTAGGTTACGTAATTATATCAAGCTCATGGAAAACTTGGCCGGCTATGACCTGTCGCTGTCGTGACCTGACTGCGCTGAGACTCCCGCGCCCGCGCCTGCGCTCGTTCCGACCCGCGCTCTCCCTCCAACCGCACCGCTCTCGCCAACGTTGATTATAGTCTATTTCATTTGCAAGAGTGCGTGAAAGGGATGAAAATAACAAAATTCGCAATTCCAGCCAAAAATAGACAAGAGTTTCAGTCATGCCTTTTCTTTAGTTTTATTCATATATTTTATCAATTCTGATAATTTGATTATCCTATAAGTATATACTGTGATGGGGGGCGCGGTCTCCTATTCTACGTCGAACGCGGCGTGCAACCGCTGTACGCGGCTTCAGTTATTTTCGAGCATTGTAGCGTACGACTGGCCAGTTTGTTAATAAAAAAGAAAAAGACGAATTTTTGATTGAATTAGTTAAAAGCAACAGGCCTTTATATGATACCAGTGATAAGAAATTTAAAAACAATACTGAAAAACGCAAATGTTGGAAAAAAATATGTATAATGATTGATATGATGGTTGTCTGGTGAATTCATTTTCGATTAGTTTTGGCACTCGTTTAAATTGTTCTTTGACACCCGAAAATATTCAATAAACTTAGTGTCGTTATTGCAGAAGTGGTTCAGTAGTAAGTTGAAACAACCTTCGCTGTTCCTCGTCATGAGTAAGTTGTGCTTTCTTCGTCTTCCTTTAGTCAGTGACATCCGTATCAAGCAATCGTCATCCTCTTCCTCTTCGAGCAAAACAAGATTTAAAATTGTTTTATCATCCATTTCTGAACAAGTTGAAAGATCGCACTCGACTGACACCCGTCAGTGTTCGACGCGTTCTGTTAATGACCACCTGAAAGGGGTGGTGACGTACAGCTGCTGTACGCGACGTAAGCAAACGCTAGACGCAGCGTATAGCGTGAAAATTGGAGTCCGCCGCCAAAAACATACAAGTGACGCGACGTGACATGACGCCTGCCAACTCTGAGTGTAAACACGACCTAAGACACTGGTGATAAATATCTCCAAGTAATTTCTTACCTCCTGCAGTAGAAACAGTCTTGACCAGGGTTGCAACTGACGTACCCGAGCTCCCAGCTTGGATAGCTTGGGCCAACACTTGAGGCGACAGGTTTTGAATGGTTCCGGTTCCGCCTGCGCCTCCAAGTTTCTGTTGAAGTTGCTGCTGCTTCTTTAATAGGTGGGCTACTTCGTTTTCGGTTACTGTTCTGGTTAAGCCGCCTTTTCCACCAACTGTAACAGTACCTGACAATGGAAATTTAGACTACAATAATACTCATTAGTAATATTTTTCTATTATGATCTGATACTATAAAAATGATCAGCCTTAAATTTGACCTGTTCATTAGAATTGTCAATGCATTCACTCTAACATGCCTAAGTGTCTTGATCGTATCCAAAAAAGCAAATGAGATACGAAAGAGTGCAAGGAAATGATAGTACATTAATGGAGAGGTATGCCATTACTGGCCGAGCATTTTTACATCATGAGGAATATAATGTGCTCGGATAATAATGTTTTTTTTTCATTGAGACATGTATAGAATGTTTCTCATTGCTATGATATACGAGTTCTGTAAATCAAGTGATAAGACTAGCAGTGTAGCGTTCGATCTGGCAACACCGCGTTCAGTACAAGTTTGAACTCGCACCAATCATTTGATTGTCCGTAGCAATTTTTTGTGAAATAGTTTTTTCTAATGTGTTCTAAAAATGAGTGTCATCAATTTTAAGCAAAGGTGTGCTGTCAGGTTTTGCTTTAGACTTGAGCACAGTGCAATGGAAACTCTTGCTAAACAGGCCTACGGAGATAGTGTTTTGTTAAGAGTTGAGGTTTTTTTGTGGTTCAAGGCATTTTCAGGAAGGAGAGAGTCGATTTAGATGAACATGAACCAAGATCCGATTAAAATAAAGACAGAATTCGGGATCTTGTGCGGTCAGATCCTCGGTTGTCAGTCAGAGTGATCAAGACAGAGACATTTGACGCACATCACCGTTTATCAGATAAAGAACAACTGAGTGTTGCGTCACGATAATGCTCCTTGTCACACAGCAATGTCAATAAACGATTTTTGGTCAGTAAAAACATTCCTGTGGCTCCTCAGCCTCCTTATTCGCCTGACTTGAGTCCTTGCGAGTTTATTCTCTTTTCGAAGTTGAAAAATCACCTTAAGGGAACCAGCAGAAGGCTACTGCAGTATTCCAGCACCATTATGAGAACTGGCAGAACCGTCTCTAGCGTTGTGTGGCTTCAGAAGTCACAGTGACAATATAAAATTGTAATTATATCTGAATAAAAAAAAACAGTCTCATCACTTAATTTACAGTCCTTATATTAATTATATAATATTAGCATGTCTGATAATTTTCTTAACGTCCCAACATTGTAGGATAGGCGTTTTGTCTGCATCAGTGCATAATAGAAGGACGCTGCCGTTACATGATAGTATCCGATAAAGATAAAAGATAATTAGTATGCCGACACAATCTCATACAAAGACTCTGCATAGTCACCAGAATTATTAGCAATATTAAAAAATGGATAGTTCTCAGTTCCACCGTCCAGAAAATCCAAATACTCTCCTCACCTCTAGTAAAATATCTAGCCTTGTCAGCCTCCACTTGCAAATATTTCCGGGTAGAATCCTTACTTTTCATTTGAATCACCATACAGATAAAATGCATTTATTGGATCTTTCTTCGAACAACGTGAATTAAAAAGAGCACCTTGTGCTAAAATCAATTATGTGTGTGTCTAATTAGGCAAAATGGGAAGTTTGGTATATGTAATTATGTGGCTTTGTTTACTTTTACTCTGCAAATATTTGCTTCAGTATGCTCTTCATTTTTTCCACGACTTTTCTAAATTGATAGTCCTCAAATTTGCAAAATATTTCAATCATCCTCCATAATTTTGCTTAAATTATGGTATAAATGAATGTACACGGTGATATTATCTTGCATGTATTTTTCATATTTTGTTTTAAGCAATTATGAGGCTGCTGATGAAATTCCATATGCTTTTTTAAGAAATTCACAGGAGCATTGGAGATTTTTAATAACCGCCAGCGGTCTATAATAAGTGGAGGTGGCCATACTCTGAACTGCAGCTAAATGCAGTCTATACAGAGGGGGAGGTTTCAGTGAAAACAACAATCAGCGCGGCTAGTGGATGCTATTCACACGGTATTAGGTGTAGCAAATGTACACTTGACCTAACAAAAATTCTATAATAAATGAAAATTTGGATTCAAATTATTCAAATATGTTTCTTTAGCTTAAAGAAAAGTTCCGGATTCCGTGGTAGGCAGGGACCGAAGTGTTTTTGAAAACTTTTTGATTTATATTTTGGTTATAGTACTTTAAATATTATATACAAATACAAAATATTATAATTTAACGCAAAACTTACCTATAAACTAAATTGCACCCCTGAGAAAGTCATAGGCGGTAAAAGTGGCTATTCAAATTTCGAAAAAATTACATAGTTATTCTTGAAATTAGAAAAAATAATTGTGGTACACAGTTTGCGTGCAACACAGAGCATTAAACGATAGTAACTGATGTTCAATTGAAGCATTATAAAGGGTTGAAAAGGGAAGATGCACCATCAAAATGTGACTGAATTTTTTAAGACGATGGCTCTCTTAAAAAATTATTGTTTTAATTTATGTAGAATTTCATTCTAAAACCTTAGCGCTGTTGTTGGACCATGTGTAAATGCTCGTATGTGGGACTTTCGATCCATCTACTTGATAAAATAGTTTTTTGGGGTAATTACCAAGCCCTGTAGTTAATGATAATTACGCAAGATATAGAGGATGGCCTATAAGGCTGGTTTTCGGCCTAGTACAATTTTGATCAAAAATGTATTTTTTTATGTGTATAAAATCAGATTTGACCACAAACGGCTCTTACAGGAACCTCTTCCTGGCTAGGGTGAAGGTCAGTTTTACGTAAAATTCTAGAGTTAGTTATCAGGTGTCAGTACGTCCGTATCAGGTCATTTGAAAGGCGTTTCGATGTCATTTCATGTTCAAATTGAGATCTGGTCGGGAAATCAAATCTAATAGACCTGCACGTAGGTTCTTAAAGTAGCTGGGTTCGAATCTGAGGACATTTTGCCCGTATCACGCCAGTTGAAGTGCGTTTCGAGGTCATAGATCTGGTAGTCTTAATTTCTCAGCATTTTCTCAATTTGACTTTGAAATGACCTCGAAATGCCCTTGAAATCACCTGACGCGGGCAAACTGCCTCAGATTTGGACTCAGCGACCTGAAAAACATGCCTAGTAGATTTGATTTCCCGGTATTTTCTTGATTTGGCTCTCAAATGATCTGATAAGGGCAATCTGATGTTAGATTCCTATAAGTAACCTATAAGTATGACAGATACCTATTACTTACTCCGTAAACCTCGAAATTTCACCTAAAATTTACCTTGGAATGACCTTCATCCTAGTCAGAAGAAGTTTCATATGGTTAAATCATTATTTTATATATGGGTACATATAATATTTTCATTTTTTGATCAAAATTATAGTAGGCCAAAAATCAGCCTTCTGAGCTCTCCTCATTTTAATGTGGATGTATTGATCTTGCAGAAAAGTATATTTTAAAGTTAGCAAATTATTTTTTTGAGGTTAAGTACTATTTTAGGGTATACATCGTTTCGAAACCTCCATAGTGAAACCCTTGTAGATTTTTATCTTCCATTTGTTGTATAATAATTGTAGTGTTTTTTATAAAAAAAATATAGCACAACAAAGATATTTGATAATACAATATTCCGTGGACAGAGAGTGCCGCGTATTTCTACACTCAAAACAAGTCGATTGGACATGGTTTACCTCTATGCAAAACAGCTTAGTTTGTTGGTTAGAGGGCGACAAAGTTTTCTTTTTGAAACACATTTTTCAAGATATATAAGAACCTGTTAGCGAGGGTGTTGTTGCGAACCATTTGCGGAAAGTGAATTGTAACACGACCTTGGATTTGAACATATAAAAAAATAGTAAACTGTGTAAATAACAATGTGAAAATAGCAAAGTCTTTGTACATATTGTTTCGTGACGATAGGGCTAATGTCTACGTGCGAACTAGTTAAAACTTGGCTCTGTCCAAGGACGCACATCTGCACTTGTGAAATTCCAAAGAAAAACAGACATAAAACCAAATGTCCATGTGGTAGAGATAAAAAGCATGTTTTATGTAGGCACTGTGGCGCCCTTTGCAGGTACTCTGAAGCTAAAGACGTTGGAAACACCAGAATCTCAGAACCCATAGTCCGATTTGAATGAAATTTGGTTCACATGTTTTGCTAGACGTCTTAAAAAATCCGAAAGGTTTCGAGAAGCGTGAAAACTACACCCTATAAATTATAGCAGAATGTGTTGGCAACTTCCCTGACGACTCGAATTTTTGTATGTATAGATCCTTCTATTTCATTTATTTTTGTCTCCTATAAAAACAGGCCATCTCGAAAACTATTTCTGTACAGACCTTGTCTGATGAACTGCGCTCTAGCGTTGCTCGGTTGTTGTTGTTGCTGCGCCTGCGTGAATTGTACCACGGCCTGTTGACCCCCAATCGTGACAGTTGATGTCTTGATCTGCGTCTGCCCCCCACTGGCGCTCGCTTGACCGCCTCCTTGAGCGGCAGCCGCTGCTGCGGCGGCAGCTGCGATGTTGCCGTGGTGGTGCAAGCGCAGTTGCTTGTTTAAGCTTGCTTGACGGATCATCGCCAGCTGAGACTGAAACAATAATTGCTTTGACTATCCTTTTCTTAGGAACTTCTCATCAGGACTCGCATTAAAACTAAAAAGATGTATACAGGGTGCTCCAAAAGTCGGCGTCAAGCCGGAAACAGTGATAGAATAAGTCATAGTTATCAGAAACATATATAAAAACCTAAGTCTACTTTTCAAATTATAAGCTTATATATACAAAGGGTACTATACAAGTTTTACAATATGACAACATACAAACGCGGAAGGCTGCATGTTGCTGCTTTCTGAGACTTGTCCATAAGTGCATAGTAGCCGCCAGCGGGACGTCTGTTGATTTAGTTGTTCATTCGTATTGATAGTGTAAAGTGCGGACTATGGCATCGTGGTCACGTAATGAAATAAGGTCAGCTTTACGGTATAACTGTACGCATGGTTTAAGCATAGACCAGTGCTTAGAAGAAATGAGGCTTGCATTAAAGATTGATTGTCCTCATCGTACGACTAATTCAGGTGGTACAGAGAATTCCAAAGGGACAATTTCACTCTTGAGGACGCTGAGAGGGAGGGTAGGCCGCGAACGTCAGTAACAGAGGAAAACATTACTGCTGCGAGGAAAATGCTTGATGAAGACCGGAGAGTGACATACCAACAGATAGAGGAGCCCTTACACCTTCATGCACCAGCAATTCATTCAATTCTACGTGACCATTTACAAGAAAGGAAACATTGTTATCTCTGGGTACCGAATAGTCTGACGGAAGAGCAGAAGACTCGTCGTACGACTTGTTGCTGAAAGATGCTGAAAATGTTTGATAAGGGGCAATCTCGGTATGTGAACAGCATCGTGAAAGGTGACGAGACTTGGCTCTATTATTAAGATCTGTCGACCAAGACTCAAAGCAAGGTTTGAGGTCTTTGATGATGAGAACACACCCGTGACTGTCAGAAAATCCCGATCTGTTGAAAAAAGATAGCTGTATTTTTCAAATCGAACATTATTGTGGAGCGTGTCGTTTTGAATACACAGAAGACAGTCACAGCTAAGTGGTACACGGAACAGTGCCTGCCTAAAGTCTATGAAAAACCTGCGACCAAACTCAAGTACACTGAACACTTGGCACCTCCACCATGACAACGCTCCAGCTCCCCACGCCAAAGCGTGCACCGAATAATTGACCACTTCTGGACTGAAACATATTGAGCACCACCCTCCTTACAGTCCATATCTTGCTCCCTGTGACTTTGCACTGTTTCCGCCTGTGAAAATGAAGCTAAAAGGAAAACGGTTCTCTGGCGATGACGACCTTCTGAGGACTTAGGACAACGAGTGTGCCGCATTCCCGGGTGAAACTTGTCAGAACTGGTTAGAGGACTGTTTTGGCGGATTGATAAGTGTATTGAATGTGATGGAAATTACTTTGAACGAAGTCAATAAATAAAGCTGTATTGCAAAACTTTTATAGCACCCTGTATATACAGGGTGACTTTGAAGTTGAGTCATTAATTTTCAGATAATGATTGTAGAAGGAAGATAAACCAAAATATGTGTGTAAAAATAAAAAAAAAAATTACCTTGTTTTATAAAGTATCCCCCGACAAGTATTTCAGTGCGGACCTGTATTTGATCGTGAGGTCCCCTGTGAGGTCTTAAGTCACCTGATTCACGAGCCCGTCGTACTACATTAACAAAGGCACTAGGGGTTGGTTGCACTCGATTGGGAAACCGATCCGCATAAACATGTGCCATTTTTTATTTCGTTTGAGCCACGCACCAGATACCACTATTCACTGACACTGACTGTATACAAATGAATGAAATACTTGTAAAAACATCGTTCCAAATTCTTTCGCTTTTTTGTTTCCGATGCGATGAACCGATACGGCGGATTATATCCGTTGTCGCCAAACACGAGTACATAATATTATTATTGAGACAGGGCGGTACTCAAAGTTCCAAAGGGCTATAACTTTGTTACTTTAATTTTACCAGAAAAATGGTAAAGGAAAAAAACCTTTCTTTTGATCAGATCTACTCACTGTTAAAATAAATGACTCAACTTCGAAGCCACCCTGTATATATATATACCGCGTGCGCCATCTTTTATGTCGTAACATCGAATGATTTTGATATTTACCAACCGAGTGATTTGGTTATAAGTGTTTCTGAAACGTCAATTTACTACAATTTTAGTCATGAATCGCTATACACCGAAACAACGCGCCGAAATAGTCACAATGTACATTGAAAATCGTCATTCATTTGTATTAACGCAACGTGCAAATCGTCGAAAATATCGTGGCAAACAGGCACCGTCTGACAACACTATCCGTCGTTTGGTTACGAATTTTATTGAGTACGGGACAGTGGGAGATCGTCAACATACCGTTCATCAACGACCAAGACTTTCCAATGAATTGGTTAAAGCGGTCAGAGACAGCGTTGCCCAAAACCCAAAAGTGTTGTATCGTCACTGCGCTCAGAATTTTGGCATCAGTGGAACCACATTGCGGCGCATTTTGAAGGATGATTTGCATTTGCTTCCTTATAAGATGTAGTTAACACAAAAAATATTGCCAACTGACCGTCCACATCACTTGGAATACGCCCAAACAGTCGCTCGCATGGTTGATGCTAAACCTGATTTTTGGAAGCAAATTGTAATGACCGACGAGGCCCATTTCTCGCTCTCTGGCGGCGATATAATAATAAGCAAAACTGACGTATTTGGGGGACGGAAAATCCACCAGAGATGCTCGAAAAAGTAATGGAAAACGCAGCAAAACGGGCACATTTTGTTTTGGCCAATAAAGGTGGCCACTAGATAGATGTCGTGTTCAAAAACTAGTCCCAATAAATTGTAAAGAGCCATATTTAATAAAAATACCCGATATATAGAAATCAGTTTTTCGTTTTCCAAGTTATTTCATGTTTCCATACCGACATAAAAGATGGCGCACCCTATATATAATAAATACATTTTGGGAAAATCTATTTATGGCATGTAATACATGACATTTGAGGGCACATTTCTAAAATATTGGCAATTATATAGGGTGTCCCAATGTTAAAAGTTGTGATTTGGATAAACCAATTCAAAAGAAGAAGATTGATATAACATACTATGGGGTTCTGGTAATTAGCTACTGAGGTGTAAGGTGTTTTGTCCAGAAAAACCGTCCACTTCGGCAAACCCTCAATCCGCCATTTTGAAATTTGGAGTGCTGAATTTTGTTTAAAATAAAACTTACACACCTCAGCTTTTATCTTACTTCTTACTTTTTCGAATTTTTATTTTTGCTCATATAGGGTGGTCAAAAACGCGAATTGTACTTTTTCTCAAGAATTTCAAATGCATCACCCTGTATATTTGTGTAAGTTTGGATTCAATTTTTTATAAGCTTTTTTGGTATAACGTTTGATTCAGATAAAGTCACTAGATTTTGAGTTATTAAGCTTTTAATAGAACAACACACCAAAATTAAGGAAAAAAATCACATCATTCATGGAAACAAAAGACAAACAGTGGGCTAGTTCCATATTGCCACTAAAAGTACAGATTTGACGTAAACACTAATAACAATCAGAACAGTATAAATCATCTTCAAGCGTAATAGAGAAAAACAACTATAACAACAACATAAACAAACAACTATCACTACTCAAGACCTAATCTGCAAAAACTGCTCGAAAATATCTTCACCGTGTTGAATGCACAGCCGTAGTCTTTGGATAAATGACCGTTGTACATCCGTCAGCATGTGTTCCCTTTATGTTCAGAAAAGCATCCTTAATCCTTTCCTTCATATTTTCCGGGGTAGATGGTGGATATCTATAAACCTCTTGCTTAACGTAGCCCTATAGAAAGAAGTCCATCGGTATCATATCTGGTTATCTAGGAGGCCAAGATATAGGCCCATCACGACCGATCCAACGATTGTTACTCCATGTGTCCAAACAGTTACGCACACGATTATGATAATGCGCAGGTGCGCCGTCATTTTGGAAGTACATATGCATCCGAGTTTGCAGGTTGACATCCTCCAAAAGCAAAGGCAAATGCTCGATCAAAAAATTCAATTATTCTGTACCTGTTAATCTGTTGTCGAAAAAGAAAGGCCCGATAACTTGTCTGCCAATAGCTCCTCCCCAAACATTCAAGCTCCATTTATTTTGGAAATCTATTTGCCTAACCAAGTAAGGGTTTTCCGTCGCATAATCTTGCATGTTATGCCTGTTGACAACACCTATGCTGTTAAATGTTGCCTCATCGCTAAAAAGAACCTTATCCAGGAAAATAGTGTCTTCACTCACTTTATTTAGCATTATTCTACTAAACTCCATTCGAGCTGCAAAATCCTGAGGACGAAGGCCTTGATGCAAGCATAGGTGATATGGATGGTACCTATGCTTGTGAATAATCCTTTGGACAGAAGTTCTGCATATGACAGTTTCTGCTCCAATTTGCCGTGCCCTTAAATGGGGATTTCCTGCAACTTTAATAGAACCTCCAACTGATTCGCCTCATTGGTGACACTTGGATTATTTATACATTTTTCACTATATTCCACTGCTCCACTTGATTGAAAACGTTCTCCTAGTGTGGAAAATGTTTCCGGCCTTGGATGTCGCATATTAGAGTACCGTTGCTTATAAATGCGAGATGCTAAGAAACTATTTTCTTTGGGCTTCGCCCAAAACGAATACCATATTCACCATTTCTTTTTTAGAAAAAATAATTTTCAAACACGTTTTTATTTTAATGCTCACAAAGCTAATTTTGACAGTTTGTAACTAATCAACAATTTATTTGTTTCCAAGAATGATGCGATATTTTAGGAAATTAAGTCGTTCCATAAAAGACGTGCTAATAACCGAAAAAATAGCCGTAAAAAAACTTATGTGTCTAGTATCAAAAAAAGATTATCGGCTAATAACCATAGAAGTTGACGCCGTCAAAAAAAAAGCTTTTAAAAAATTGAATCCAAACTTGCACAAATATACAGGGTAATGCATTTGAAATTTT